GGGCCCCGCACGGTGGGGCCGGGCCGGTGGCTGAGGTAATGGGGGCGGCGGCGGGGCCGCGCCGAACGGGGGCGGGGGCAGCGGGGCCTACGGGGACCAGCGACCGAGCGAGGTGGGGAACGGGGAAGCAGAGGGCTTCCCGAGCGGGTGGGGGCGGCGTGAAAACTCTGCCCTGGAGCGAGGGCGGCGGCGGCGAAGGAGAAGGCGAGCAGGGTGGGGAGCTGAAAGGAGAGGACCCCCTCCCGCACCCGCCATCTTGTCTCCCCCCCTCCCGGCTCTGGAAGCCGAGCCGCCAAGCCCCGCCCCCGTCACGATGTCCAATTGGCTGGGTCAGAGGAGAGTCCCGCCTCCCAATGGGGGGGGTCCCTTGGCCTCCCGGTTGCCCCTGATGGGCATGTCAGACGGCCAATAGGCTCTCGCCCCTGCCCCGCTCGTTCGCTGGCGCTCGCTTTCTGTGAGGGTCGGACTCCGAGTCAGTGAGTCTCTGGTGCGCTCTCCCTCCCCTGTGGAGAGATGTTATTTCCCTCCTTTCTCCTGCGCCGAGGAGTGACGGTTCTTCTGGCAGAGGGGCCCCTTCGAGGGGCAGGGGCCTTGACTGCGGTCTTCCCTCGTCTGAGTAGCTCGGCTGGAGCGCAGGGGGTCCCGACTAAATGCAGAAACTCCTCATTCTTGGGGGTGGGCGAGGAGGGGCGCAGGGGCCGCTGAGCAGCAGGGCGGGCGGTATTTTCGAGGTGCGTATGTGGGAAGAGCGGCGTAGGTCGAGAAAACTCCCGCCAAAAGAAAGCGGGTGTAGACTGTCAGCCCGTTGTGGGCGAAACTCGCTCGTTTCCCCAGCAGCGGCCGCTGCCCTGCGGCGGGCTGCGCCCGAGAGCGTGGGCAGCGCCGGGGGGCGGGGGCGGTGCCTGCAGTTGGTTCCGAGATTCCTGAGCGGCGGGCAGGGAGAAGGTGGGAGGAAGGGTGTAGAGCGGCTCTAACCGTAAACTATTGAAAGTTGGTGTTCAGTTCAGATGGGCGCGCTCTCCTCCGGAGCTGGCCGCCTGCCTCTAATCCCAGGCCGCGGGAGGCTGAGGCAGAGGGGTCCCTGCAGGTTTGAGGCCAGCCTGGGCTCTGTAGTCAGTTGAAGGCCAGTCTGGACTACATAGGGAGACCCTGTCTCAAAAATTATTATGATCATTTTTTAAAAGAAGCATAAACCAAAAACTCCGCTCTCCTACGAGCTCCCTGCCCTAGGAGTGGTGGGCGGTAAAGCAGGTGTGTTGGCCCCAAGCTGCGTCTAGTGAATTGGCGCTTGTCAGGAGTCCGGTGGCCAAGGGCCTCTGGAGCCTGGACAGAACTGCTGTGATGATTCTGTTTCCTTTGGCTCCAAGTGGGGTGTGTGCCTCCCTGCCTGGCGTTGCTTCTCAGCCAACTTTGGTTTGTTTGTTTCAGACACATGTGGGGTTGGAAGGGCTTTAAAGTAAGGATGTAAACTTTACCGGCGCATGCCTGTGATCCCAGCACTTGGGAGGCCGAGGCAGGAGGATTCTTGTGAGTTCAAGGCCAGCCTGGACTACATGGCAAGGCCCTGTTCCAACCCCCTGCCACATCCCAAAAGTAAGGATCTTAGTAATATGAACAAGTAGTAACCCTTAAGAGATAGATTTTATTGCAGTTGTTTTATGGGCGGTGTAGGGAGGCACGGAAAGATTGAGACGTTTTCCAGGTCACGTGAAGCCACGGTTAGAACCTAGATTGCCCCAGAGCCTCTTTGTATACCGACCGTGGCATCGCTGTGGTGTTCTTACCTCCCTATAGATGAGGTGAACAGATCCGAAGGTCTGGCTTCAAATTGTAGCCTCTTCACTTACTCTGCCCTGAGAGTGACACCTTTTTGAGCTTCTGTTTCTTTATCTTGTAAAGTGGAGGTGATAACCTGTATACTGTTTCTCGGGGGAGCTGAGAAGGGACGGGGCTTTGTAGCTTGTGAGCTAAGTTACCATCTCCACTCTATGTAAGGGTGGCAGATCCTGCAACTCGGGTGATACCGCTTTTCTCGGTAAAATCCCCTCTCTGCTCATACCTTCCGCGTCTCTGGCCACACTGTGGGGCACCATGTCTCCCGAAGTCTTTCTGGCGACGATAGCTTTGACAACTGCCTACCCCTACCACAGCTTCTTAGGAGCTCGTCATAATTCCCCGTATCCCCAGAGGGAGGCGGAAGACTTAGGGCTTTCCGTTTGCCGGACAGGGGCAGGCTAGGTGTATGTGTTTCGGGAGAGAGACTTTCAAGATACAATGTGTCGAGAGTCTTCCTGGCTGCTGCTCCAGTTGTCTTGGCCTTTAGTCCAGTGAGGAGCCCAGACAGGCCGTGTGGCGCCCACCGTTTCTGCTTGGGAATGTACTAGCTGTTTATCCGGGATGCTGCCTTTGCAGGAAATGCCCTGCATACTCTATTTTGAAGCCCTTAGTCCACATGTGATAGGCATTTCGGATTCCTTAACCGTGGGCAGGGCCTGGAGAGAAGGCTTCCCATGGGGAGATGGATTGGGAGAGGGCTCCAGATCTGCAGATTCCTGATCCTCTCTTGGGGCCCACTGTTCATATACAGTGCTTAGAAGTGGCTGCTGTTCTTTCCTTCTTTCCCTTCCTCCCACGTCCCTTCCTCTCCCCTACCATCCTTTCCTTCCATCCTGTCTCTCCCTCTGTCCCTCTCCGTCTTTTCTGACAGGGTCTTGCTATGTTGCCCAGGCTGGCCACGTAGCTGGGACTGTAGATGTGTGCCGCCACACCCAGCCTGTTTCTTTGAGTCCTCAGCCACCCTCTCACAGTTAGCTGTCCCACAGCCGTATGCGCGTCATTACTTAGGTTAGGGTCTCTTTGCTTTTCTGTCTGTTCAGTTATCAGATAGAGCTCCTTGAGGACTGGATTCACAAGTGTTTGATCTCTCCTTTTATTCACCTAGTACTTATTGAGTGCTCATCTAAGGAACTGGGCATCGCTCCAGGCATGAGGGATAGAGCGGTGAACAAGATAGGCAAGAATCCTCAGCCTGATGGTGCTTATGTTCTAGCAGAAGGACCCAAAATAAACCTTATAAATGAGCACATTACATAGCGTGGTAGAAGGTGGTGTGACAGGGGAAAACAGCAGAGGGTAAGGTCTGCTGCTGATGGAGGAGAGGGAGTTGCAGTTTGTTGTTGTTGTTGTTTGTCTTTTTGAGACAGGGTCTCGCTGTGCAGTTCAGGCTGGCCTTGAGCTCACTTTGTAGCCCAGGCTGGCCCTGAACTCCCAGCGATCCTCCTGCCTCAGCCTGCCGGGTGCTGGGATTACAGGCATGCACCCCCACGCCCGGCTGCAGTTTCAGATGGAGTTCTCAGAGAAGGCCTCGCTGAGAAGTGTTTGTGGGAGCACCTGAAGGGGAAGCCATGTGGGCACCTGAGAGGCAGGTTGTTCAGACAGGAACAGCTAGCTGGTCTTCTCGGTGGCCGCTTGGTCAGATGGAATGTGAACAGGTGTGTGTGTGTATCTAGCTCACGGTCTCCTGGCCTTCTCCCCTCAGGCCTGTCTCCTCGTTCCCAGGTGCCATGAGGAAGCCCCGCCGGAAGTTGCGGCAGAATGCCGAGGGCCGGCGTTCCCCATCCCCCTACAGCCTGAAGTGCTCCCCGACCCGAGAGACGCTGACCTATGCCCAGGCCCAGCGGATTGTGGAGGTGGACATTGATGGACGCCTGCACCGTATCAGCATCTACGACCCGCTGAAGATCATCACTGAGGATGAGCTGACTGCTCAGGACATCACCGAGTGCAACAGTAACAAGGAAAACAGCGAGCAGCCTCAGTTCCCTGGCAAGTCCAAGAAGCCCTCGTCCAAGGGCAAAAAGAAGGAGTCCTGCTCCAAGCATGCGTCCGGTTCCTCCTTCCATCTGCCACAGCCCAGCTTCCGGGTGATGGATCCAGGCAACCAGCCCGAAGCGCCCCCGCTGCCCGCCGCCTATTACCGCTACATCGAGAAGCCGCCGGAAGAACTGGATGCAGAGGTCGAGTACGACATGGATGAGGAGGACCTGGCCTGGCTGGACATGGTGAACGAGAAGCGGCGAGCAGATGGGCACAGCTCAGTGTCGGCAGACACCTTCGAGCTGCTGGTGGACCGGCTGGAGAAGGAGTCCTACCTGGAGAGCCGCAGCCTTGGGGCCCAGCAGTCCCTCATCGATGAAGACGCCTTCTGCTGCGTGTGCCTGGATGATGAGTGCCACAACAGCAACGTCATTCTCTTCTGTGACATCTGCAACCTGGCCGTGCACCAGGAGTGCTACGGTGTCCCCTACATCCCCGAGGGCCAGTGGCTATGCCGCTGCTGCCTGCAGTCTCCCTCCCGGCCTGTGGATTGTGTCCTCTGCCCCAATAAGGGTGGTGCCTTCAAACAGACCAGCGATGGGCACTGGGCCCACGTAGTGTGTGCCATCTGGATCCCTGAGGTTTGCTTCGCCAACACTGTGTTCCTGGAGCCCATCGAGGGCATTGACAGTATCCCACCCGCCCGCTGGAAGCTGACCTGCTACATCTGCAAACAGAAGGGGCTGGGTGCCGCCATCCAGTGCCATAAAGTGAACTGCTACACAGCCTTCCACGTGACCTGCGCGCAGCGGGCCGGGCTCTTTATGAAGATCGAGCCCATGCGAGAAACCAGCCTCAACGGGACCATCTTCACCGTGCGCAAGACCGCCTACTGTGAGGCCCACTCGCCCCCCAGCACCGCCACGGCCAGGAAGAAGGGCGACTCCCCCAGCAGCCTCAGTGAGGCCGGGGATGAAGACGGGCTGAAGGAGGGTGGGAGGGAGGAAGAGGAAGAGGGGGAAGTGAAGGAGGAGGAGCAGGAAGGCCAAGGTAGGGCGGGTAGCCCCCTCAAGGCAGCACCCAAGAAGAGCAAGATGCGTGTGAAACAGAAGATCAAGAAGGAGCCAGAGGAGGCAGGCCGAGACACACTTTCCACCACGCCCGTGGTCACCGTCCCGCAGATACCCTCTTACAGGTGGGCCTGCCCACAGGGCTCTTCCGAGTTTCCTTCTGGGTTGGTCCTGGCGCTGGGAAGGGTTGGGCCCTTCCGCAGCTGTGGCTGATAGATGTCTATACCCTTCCGTGCCCCTAATTTAAACTTCTCTTTTGGAGCCTGGCCATATGGGTCCTCTTTTGTGGTTTTTGATTGTGCCCTCAGGGTAATGTGTTTCCTTTGATTTAGGGTGAAACAAACCATTTAAATTGCTTAGAAACTCAGGTGACATTTACCTCAGATAGCTGGGTGTGGTGGTGCACGCCTGTAATCCCAGCACTTGGGAGGCTGAGGCAGGAGGCTCTGTGAGTTTGAGGCCAGCCTGGGCTGCATAGTGAATTCAAGGCCAGCCCTGAACTATGTAGTGAGACCCTGTCTCAAAACAAAACAAAACAAAACAAAAAGTTGGGCAATATTTTTCAACAAGGCCATTAAGGGGCATTTTGGACAGGGAAATTCGTTAGAACTGTCCCATGCATTTCTTGATATTTAAAAATCTCTGGTTTATGTAAATGCCAGTTGTCTCCCCTCCCCTTATTATCTTCGTAATAACTGCAGGCACTCCCAAACAGTTTTCAGAAATCCTCAGGGGAATAGACGGTTCCTGATAAGGAGCCACTGTGTCTAGGGGTTGACACCTCTGCCAGCGGGCTCTGTCCTGGGTGTGACAGGGGCTTGTGTGAGGGAGGGGTGGTGTGGGGAGAACATTTTTTTTTTTTTTAATTTCTCCTTAGAAAAAGCTTTAGACCTAGGGGAAGTTCAGTGGGGTAATGAAACTGTCTGGGCCCCCACTGGTGCTGTAGGGAGATCATTGTGCCCCTTTCAAACTCTCAGTGAGGGAAGAGAGCTGACGGAGGGACGGGAGCTGGGCAGAGCAGTGTGAGTCAGGGAAACATTCCAAGCAGAGGCACAGGTCAAGGGCAATTCACTAGCAGATGTACAGTGTTAGAGCAGGAGCAGTGTTGGAGATTGTTCCATCTAATGTAGTCCTTGCACCTTCTCCCACATCCCCAGATGAAGAAACCACGGCCACAGGAGGTAAAGTTACTCCTTTATTCATTCGATGAGATATTTATTGAGCACGTACTACATGCCACATTCTGTTCTAAGGGATGGGACCAGGTAGAAAGATCCTGGACCCAGCGGAGGCTTCTGATGCCCCTCTAGGGTGTATGCTCTTGCTCTCTTGATGAGAAGGTTAGGGAGAAAGTAGTACTGGAAGGCAGTAGGGAACGAGTTGTGTGCAGGGGACAGGAAGCTAGATATACAGGCTGGGAAGTAGGCATGAGCGTGAGCCCAGCACAGGAAGCTGTTGTGTGCCGCGGCCCAAATGAGAATTTTGGTGACTCTGAATGTGTCTTTGAGACACAGAGCTATTCTGGGCTGCCTTTGCCCTGAGCTGTGTCTATGCTTTGTCCCCACGTGTAGCATAGCTATGCCCCGCGGTGGATGGACTCTGGGTATCACGTCTGTTTTTCTAGATCCCGCTCCCAGGCACTGGCTAAGCTGGCTGAGAACAGATAGACCTGTCTCTCAGTACCTTTGTCATCCGAACTGCTCTCAGCCTTGGTCTATTTGTAAATGAACCCATCACACAGACTTGTGAGAAATGAATGCGAGAATACAAGCAAAGCTCTTAGCACAGTGGCTGGCAAATAGTTAGTGCTCAATAAATGGTGGCTGCTGCTGCTGCTGCGTTGCTGCTATTTTTTATCATTATTCTCTTCCCTACTTGTGCAAATGCTGTCGGAACCCTCCATGGCCAAGAGGTGATAGAGGGAGGGGGCTGCCAGCATATGGGCAGGTGTGCTTGGCATGGGCGTTGATGGGGATCTGTCCTTTGGGAAAAGGCCTAGGCCTTGATTTTGGAAGCTTGGCTTTGGGGCAGGAATGTCTGAGCGGAGGTGAACAAGGCCTAGTTGAGCAGTGTCCTGGTGCCCATCCTCCTTAGGTTCCGTCTGTCTCGATTAGCCACATTTATCTTCCTTCCAGGGCAGTGGGGAGAAGAGATCAAAGCAGAGGAAATAAGAAGCCCTGAGGCCTGGCTTACCCTGTGAATAAGCAGTGCGGGGATGTACCATGGCAGAGAGATCATGGATTCAGATCCCACTCAGAAGCTCCCGTATTGTTAGCTGCATTCGTTGCTGTGACAGTTAATTCAATCCCTGTGCCTCAGCCGCCTTCCCATCTTAGGCAATGCAGGAATAATGCTATTCCTCTTACAGTATGTGTATTAGGATAGGGATTGTGTTTTCTCTTCATTCCTTTTTTACCCCTTTACCTTCCCTCCAGGTGTTATTTATTGGCTTAAACCTGGACTTTAAAACTTTTTTGGCTAAGTTTTCAGATCCTCCATTCTCTTACACCTTTAGACCCATTTTTTTTTTTTTTTTTTAATTTGGTTCCAAATTAGATCTTTTTAAGCAGCTAAGATTTTTGTGATGAAAAACAAGAGGTCAGACCACTCTAAGGGGTTGCATCTGGGATGAGAAAGCAGTAATTTGATGGGTGTTTTCCTCCCAGCATGGTGGTAAGCTGCCCCCTGGTTTGGTGGGAATCCTCAGCCACAGGAGGCAGTGGCCACATCGCCCGTAGCTTACTCAAGTTCCTGTTACCTTGTGCTGCCTTTATGAAGAGAAAGGGGGTGGGGTTGGGGCACAGGCCTGTTTCTCACTTAAAACATGGGATGAAGGGGTCCAGGAGCACAGGAAACAGAGGGTCAGGAGAGGGTTCTTTTGGAGGGTCAGGGCTGCAAGACAGGAGGTGGAGAAGCAAGTAAAATACCTCTTGCTGCATCTGAGCTGCTTAACTCTGCTGTCCTTTCAAGGCTTTCTCTGAGGTGAGGCATTTGGCCACTTTATTCTGTCTTCCTCTGTAAGGTTCAGAAATGAACCAGGATCTGGATAGGTTGCATGGGCTATCACCTGGGCTGCCCACTGACCCTGTCTTTCACTTCCCTGTGCCTCTACTCAAGGTTGAACAAGATCTGTAGTGGTCTCTCCTTTCAGAGGAAAACCCAGTTCATGCAGCGGCTGCACAACTACTGGCTGTTGAAGCGGCAGGCCCGGAATGGTATTCCCCTCATCCGGCGCCTGCACTCGCACTTGCAGTCGCAAAGAAACGCCGAGCAGGTAGGTGCAGTGGTGAGAGGAGGCCAGCGGAGGGAGGTGGAAGAGAAGGAGTGAGGGCTGGCCCCGGTTCCTGAGCCCTCTGTGGAACCTTTGCCTTTGGGGGTCACCCCTGTCTCTGGGTGACCCACCCCATGCACAGCCGCCATTGCTACAGTGATCTTCAGAGCTGACAGCAGCCCCTACTGGGTGGAAGAGGCTCGCCTTAGGAGCAGTCCTGGGAGAGTGGAGGGCCAACCCCGCTTCCCTGTGTGCAGGGACAGTGCTGCAGATACGGCAGAAGGGAAGAGGTGGGCTGATGAGTGTCGGGCCACTACACTGTGCGTCATAGAAAAAGAGCTTTTTCTCAAGACACTACATTGATCTGCCATCTGCCAAAAAAATGTGTCCTAGTAAATACACAAATTTGTAATCTTAGTTGCGGGGTACAGCCCGTCCATTGGTGGTAGCCATTAGCCATTAGCACCTGGAGTAGCTGCATGTTCAATGTCTTCTGCTCCTCCTTTCCCTTGTGTTTTTTAATCTTTCATTTTCTGTCCTCCTCTACCTGCTTCATGACTAGTCTTTGACTCTTTCACACTGCTGCTCCAGAGAAGCTGGGCTTCTTGTGTCTGGTGCTTGAACATTCCATCTCATATTATGTTTGCCTGTTGTAACTCAGCTTCTGAAAGGCAGGTGTATGTTTGGTCCCCCTTCAACCTTTGGTCCACGTGCTTTCCTGAAGCCTCCCCTAAAATGTCAGTGACCTCCTCCGAGCACATCTTTCCTCAGGTTGTCACCATTTTGACCATCCAGGTGCAGTTGACATTGCCTGTCGCCATATCTAAGAGGTCCTGTGTAACACCATTTCTCATTTTGGTCCCCATGATTGGTTGCATCCTGGGCTGATCCTACTTCTTGCTCTTTGAATGTTCTATGCAGCCTCACCGCCTGCTTGTTTGCTGGAAAACATGCTCGCTGTCATAACTGAATGTAACTGTGTGGCAGTAGCTCTTGATTTTTGTTTTATTCTTACCCCTCTCCCTTTTGCCTTCTGTTCCTCTGGGCTATTTCCAGGTGGATGTTGTTACCCTTAACTCTGATCCTGAGAACTGAATCCATTATCTTACGCTCAGTAAACTTTTCCCCTATTTTTGTCCAAGAACCTCCCTTCCAACCTCCCATCAAGAAGTCCCCCCTGGGGAGTCACTTCTGATTCTTTCTCCCAGAATGGGTCGCAGTCTGTCATCCCCCAGGCTTTTTTGTGGGACCTATCAGCATGGCTCTTCGTTCCATTCCACAGTTGCTGGGCCTCTCAGCGATAGTGCTCTAGGTGGTCTTCGGCCTGTAAGTTTTTCTGTCTAACTCACATACCATTTTCTTTTTTCTTTGTCCTTTTTTTTTTTTTTGAGACAGAGTCTCGCTATGCAGTTCAGGCTGGCCTCAGTGGAACTGAGCTCACTTTGTAGCCTGGGCTGGTGTCGAACTTATAACGATCCTCCTGCCTCAGCTTCCCGAGTGCTGGAATTACTGGCGTGTACCACCACGCCCGGCTTTTTTTTTTTTTTTTTTTTTGGTCTTATACCGTTTTTTTTCTATCCTGTCACTTTCTTTTCCAGAATATGCTCTTCTGCCCCAGGCAGGCCGAGTCCAGACTCTTGCCTGGGGTTTGAGGCTTGTTCCTGCCTGGGTCCTGGGGCTCTGCGGCTTTCGTGATTCTCCAGCTTCTCCGCTCTGGCCAGCCCATTTTGCTACTAAGCAAAGACTCATTAATCTGTCTCCACATTTCTGCCTGTCTTGCTCTGTCAGTTCCACAAGAGGCCTTGCTTCTTGCTTTGCCTGTCCGTGTCCACGTTGTAGATGGTGGAGCTCTGCTCCTGTGAGATTACTTTTCCCCAAAAGCATTCCCTGACCTAACCTCTGCCTACCCAAGACTTTCTCTATTTAATGTCCTCTCATCATTGTATGTTCAGTTTACACCATCAGTTTTTGTCCTCGTTGTTCTAATAGGTGCTTGTGTTTCAGACCCTGTGTCTCTTCCTTCCCCCAGCAGCTGTCACTCTTCTAGACTGTGACCACAGCTTTTTATTGTTTTACCAGTATATTCAAGCCACATAGGACGAGCTAATAGAAAAAATTTTGCTTTGTTTTGCAGCCAAGTCAAAGCTCTAGGGTGAGATTTTTTTCCACCCCTGAGGTGTCTATTAGTTTTCTTCTGAAATTCTTTGCAGCCCTGAGGGCCGCAGCTGATCTGGGTATCCCTGGGGGTAGGCAGAAAGACTCCCGGCTCCCTCCGCGCAGCCTTTGTGCTGCAGTGGAGAAACACCGTCAGAAAGCCTGGACAGGCCGAGCAAGGTACTGGGCCGAGAGCCTGGGTCAAGAAGGGGACAGGATTGCTGTCTGCTGAAGCTGGCTGAGGCTGGAACAGAGAGAGGACTTTGGGCCAGAAGGAGGCCCCCAGCTCCTGCTCCTCTTGCCTCCTGCAGCGAGAGCAGGATGAGAAGACGAGTGCGGTAAAGGAAGAACTAAAATACTGGCAGAAGCTCCGGCACGACTTGGAGCGGGCACGGCTGCTGATTGAGCTGATTCGGAAGAGAGAAAAGCTCAAGCGGGAGCAGGTAAGCAGCAGTCCCCAGCTCCGTGGCTCTTGTTCAAGGTCGTTTCCTCCCACTCCTCGTGTGGCACGGGATACCCAGGCGCCCCTGCCTGGTGCCAGCTTGCTTCCCCGCCTCCACCTCAGCTCTGCAGGCTTCGCAGTCTGCCCACTCTGCGGTAGGTAGGGTTCTGTGGTTCATCATAAGCTTAGTATCAGGCCTGCACGCATTCCTAGGGTTTCTGCTTGGGGAAGTTTCAGGGGAGGGGCCTTGAGTATCTTGAAAAGCTTCTCAGGCTGTTCTCATGGGCATTGTTGGTTGAAAAACTATGGCCTGGGAGCTTCTGAGGATTCTCACGTGGCCCTTAAACACTTCCAGTCTTACATCATTTGAGGTGTCTAACCTCAGTTCCAGGAGATTCTGTGCCCAGGAGCATGGGGAATGTTAAAATAAGGGTGGAGTGTAGGGCTTCAGGGGATACAAGGTCTGGCACCAGATGGGGTTTAAATCCTGACTCTAGGGTTTACTGTGCAATGTTAGGCAGGTTGCTTAATCTCTTGAAGCGTTCATATCCTCACCTGTAACATGGAGCCGTTGATGGATCCTACGTCAGTGTTGTGAGGATTTGATGCTTTGTGTGTGGAAAAAGATCTTCGAGCCCAGGGATGAAGCTCAGGGGCACAGCGCCTGCCTGGCAAGCGCAGGGTCCTGAGTTCAGTTCCCGGTACCAAAAAAAAAAAATCTTCTAACAGTGGCAGGCATGTAGTAAGGGCTGTAGAAGGGTCAGGGGCCGTCATTATTGTCTCCACTGATGCCCTTTGTCTTGCTAAAGTGTCTGTTGTGCTCTGCACACAGCCGAAAGCAAAGTACTATTAATTGAATGGATATGCCAGAAGTGTTCTCTTTGGTCCAGGAATAGCAGCTGTTACTCACATGGTTCAGAGGCCTGAGTTAAAAATGTTCCTTTTTCCAACCTTGCATCGCCGTTTAGCTCCAGCACGAACCCTTCTCCAGCAGGTCAAGAGGCTTGAGTTTCTGCTTCCAGTCAGGGGTAGCCCTCATTGCCCTTAGCGCAGGTGCCCTGGAGAGCGTCCTGTGACCTCTGCAGCTCTAAGTCAGTGCGATCCCAGGCTTGGACCCACAGCTGACCTTCTGCTCTGTTTCTACTTCTGAGAAACGGAAGAGAGAAGGCAGCTCTGGCCCTGGGGAAGCAGGCAGACTTGATTTGATGAGGCCTGGACGGGGCGGGAACTTCTTATAGTCTAATTCACAGCTTCCCAGCTGGTGCTCATGTAGGACACACACGGAAAATAACGTTTTCCCAGCAGCTGCTGTAAACATACGAGGCTGATGGGATAGGGGGGCCTGGCTACCCCAGGCTGACGTGTGTGCTCCGCATGCTGGTGGGCCAGTGTCTCAGCACACCTTGCAGGAGATTCTGGCCAAGGCACATCTGACTTTATCAGTGTGCTCCTTGATGAGGACCTCAGTCAGTCAGGTTCAAATACTGCTGCGTTTTTCTAGCCAGGGGAGCTTGGACTGGTGACTTCATCAGACAGTTTCCCAAAGGCAGATTCCATACTTGTAAAATGGGGATGATGATTTTCCTCCCGGAGTTATTGTGGTGATCCCGGGAGGTAACCCAGGGAAGCAGTGTGGTGCATGGGTCAAGAGCGCGTGCTGGGGGGCCACAGCCTCTGGGACTGAGTCCTAGCACTGCCCTTGTTCACCGGGTGACCTTTGGCCAGTTGCTTTGTCTCTCTGCGCTGCTTCTCTGTAAAATACCTCATCTGTACCTACCTCCGACATCCACGTAATTACATAAAGTGCTTAAGACATTACCTGGTGTTTAGTACGGAGTGTAGACGCACTGATTGTTACAGTCACAATTAGTACCTTAAGTCTTGGTAGGGGTATTGATACCTAGAAAGCATTCACAAAATGGCAGCTGCTTTAGTTTGTCTTTTGCTGTAATGGAATGTCACAGACTGGGTAATTTATAAAGAAAAGAACTTTATTTCAAGTGGCTCACAGCCCCAGAGGCTGGCAAGTACACGTGCGAGGCCTAGAGAGGCTCTCGGGCTACATTATGTCTTGGTGCAAAGCAGGACAAGGCCGCCTGAGTGGGAGAGGCTGCTTCTGCAAGAGCCCACTCCTGTGGGGCCCAGCCGTGCCCACGGGAACTCCCAGGAGAGCAGCTCGAGGGTGTGGCCCCCTCCCACACTCCGCTCTGGGGCTGAAGGCTCGCCATGGAGAGCTGGGAGACACCGCCAAGGTGCAGCGCCGCTGGTAGTGCCAGCAGGTAGTGCTGGTAGTGCTGCACCTGGGCTTTGGGTGGCGCAGAGCTTCTGCAGCAGTCAGCTCAGTACCTGTGAAAATTTGTGGTCCATGATTGGTGGCAGTCAGGCTGCAGAGAAAGAGTTTCAGTAATCCTTGGCAGGGATGTCCTGGTCACCTCCCACCTCCCTGCAGGTCAAGATCCAGCAGGCTGCCATGGAGCTGCAGCTGATGCCATTCAATGTGCTGCTGAGGACGACGCTGGACCTGCTGCAGGAGAAGGATCCTGCGCACATCTTTGCCGAACCTGTCAACCTGAGTGAGGCAAGTTCCCCTGACTTCCTCAGCAGCAGCAGCACCCGCTGAGCTGGACGCAGGGTCAGTGTAGGCTGGGAGGGGTTTGGGCCACAGGAAGTGCAGGACTGAGTGGGTGCGGTGTCTGGCTAGGCCAGGACACTTGGTTGAGGTGAGGGGTAGCAGGAGGCAGGGCGGGCCAGCCCCTGAGCCTCTGAATGAGGTAGGCATGGCCACACAGAGAGCGGGAGGCCACGAGTGCCCGAGAAGGGTGCGCCTGTTTGGCTAGTAAATGGTTGTTGTAATTGTACAGGTTTTATATGTTTAGGTTCCAGATTACCTGGAATTCATATCCAAGCCAATGGATTTTTCTACTATGAGGCGGAAGCTGGAGTCCCACCTGTACTGCACCTTGGAGGAGTTTGAGGAGGACTTTAACCTTATAGTTACCAACTGCATGAAGTATAATGCTAAAGACACAATTTTCCACCGAGCAGCTGTCCGCTTGCGGGACCTGGGAGGGGCCGTCCTACGGCATGCCCGGCGGCAGGCAGAGAACATCGGCTATGACCCCGAGAGGGGCACCCACCTGCCGGAATCACCCAAATTGGAAGACTTTTACCGCTTCTCCTGGGAGGACGGTGAGAAGTCTGGACGGGTGGGGAGGAGAGGGACCAGGAGAGACACAGGGCCAGAGTGCGGAGAGCCAGGGCTCAGGGCGGGCCTGGGGCCGTAGCGTGGACTCCAGAGGCCAAGCTGCGGGCAGGCACAGCCTGTGGCTGGACTAGTTCCACGGTTAACATGGAACCAGGCTACTGAGTACTTCTGGAGTGGTAGGAAAGGGGAGCCAGGTGCTGCCGCCTGTTAGAAAGCTAAGGCCCCACCAGGTTCTTCTCTCCCCGAGCCTCCTGTGCGGCACTGGAGCGGGGGCAGGGGCGAACACGGCGGGTGTGTGCGGCTCCTTCGGAAGCGTGCAGGTGGAGGACCAGAAACAGAAGTGCCTCTGAGCCGCACTGCCTGCCCGCTCTGCTTCTCCGCGCAGCAAGCAGTCACTCAGGCCAGGGGATTGCGAGCGCCTCGTGCCTGCTCCGCGGAGCCCTAATCGTGACTGTCAACTGCTTCCTGCAGCTGTTTCCCACACTCTGACCTTGCTGCCCCGTGGCTGCCTTCCAGAAAGCGGTGTCACAGGGCCGAGGGCCCGCAGTGACGCCACCGGAAGTCCCTGGCCTGGGCATTCCAGGAGAGTCTTTTGCATCCGAAGGACTTGGTCCCTTTCCCTTGCCCTGGACTGGGCAGGTCCTTCAGCCCCTTCTGTCCTCCCTTCTCCCTGGCAGTGGACAACATCCTCATTCCAGAGAACCGGGCCCATTTGTCCCCAGAGGTGCAGCTGAAGGAGCTGCTGGAGAAACTGGATCTGGTGAGCGCCATGCGGTCCAGCGGGGCCCGCACCCGCCGCGTCCGCCTACTGCGCCGGGAGATCAACGCCCTTCGGCACAAGCTGGCGCAGCCGCCACCGCCGCCACAGCTGCCCTCCCTGAGTAAGACAGTGCCCAATGGAGAGCTGCCCGTGGGGCCCCGGCGGGATGCGGCAGTTGTGGAGCAGGGCCTGCAGGAGGAGCCGGAAGACGACGGGGACAGAGGTGAGAGCGATGCCAAGCTGAGGTCTCCTGCGAGTGTTCTTCCCTACATCAGCTCTCGCCCTAAGGGCCAGCAGAAACCCTCAGAAGAGTCACCCTTCCATGTTGCCTCAGGGGATGATATTAAAAACATTTCATAATCAATGGAAACCAGAATTTACCTGTCAGAATAGAAGTTGGCTGTTAGAGTCGGCTGGGCGCCTGATGGCCCCTGGTGTGGTTGTTTAGCTGCTGAACTGTGGGGACTTTAGGGAGTTTCCGGTGCTAGAGCTCAGCAGCTGATCACTCTTCACTTAAGAAATCTCATGGTATTTTGCACCTAATGTGGCCGTGTTGTACATTCCAATTAAACATCAGCCTGACTTCTACCACCGTGGAGAGAGGCTCCTAGAACAGGTGAGGTTGGGGTGCAGGGGTTCAGCAGGGAACAAGAGACCTTACACGTGGCCCAGGCTCTGGAGCTGCCCCTTGGTTTTGGCCACAGTGAGTTGAGTCAACAGGCCCATCCTAAACGGAGGCCAGGCTGCAAGAACAGCTGGGGCAGTGGCAAACTTTTCAGTGCTCTCAACCATAGAAACAGCCTGCAGAGGCACATGTGCCATAGCTTCGCCACCACTGCCCTAGGGGTTTCAGAACAACCTTCCCAGCCTCACTTCAGAGAGATTCAGGTGGGGTGGTCTGGGCTGTGGTCTGGGAGTCTCAGTTCTTCAAAGTTTCAGGGAGCTGGGTCAGCAGACCTGTTGGGGAACCACTGATTTAACTGACTTGCTCTCAGTCTTCCTCATCTGGTATTTTATTCTTTCTGCCCCGCCCCCCCCCTTGGATGATGTGAAACAGAATCTATGGCAGATGAGAGAACACTTGAATCGAGTGAGAACTGTGGGCCTCTGATGTGCCGAGCTGAGACGTAACCGAATTATTGATGAAGCAAGAGGCTGTTTCAGGAGCAGAGTGGTGGTTTGCGACCCCCACTTCAGTAGACTCACCGGGTATTGGGCTTCAGTTGGTCTGAGGTGTTCTGTAAGCATTAGAATTTTTAAGAAACTTCCTAGGAGGTTCCGCTATGTAACTAGGGTTGGGAAATAATTTATTAGTATAGGTGAAGCTTTGTCTTACTTTCCCTTTGCCTTAGATCTAGGACCTGGGATGTGTCTCGAGCCTCATAGCAGCCCGTGCTTCCGGTCTGTGGCTCCCAGTGTCAGTATCCGGCTTGTAGGGGCAGACTCCTTCTAAAATGTTCAAGCAGATTCTCTTTTTCTCTAACAGATGACTCCAAACTGCCTCCCCCGCCGACCCTGGAGCCCACTGGGCCTGCGCCTTCCTTGTCTGAGCAAGAATCCCCCCCGGACCCCCCTACCCTGAAACCCATCAATGATAGCAGACCTCCACGCCGATTCCTAAAGCCCAGAAAAGCAGAAGAAGATGAGCTCTTGGAGAAATCACCTCTGCAGCTAGGGAGTGAGCCCTTGCAACACTTGCTCGGTGACAACGGCATCAACAGACTGTCTCTCGTGGCCCCCGACAGCCCTGCCGATGCCCCGCTCAGCGGCGTGGGGCGCCGCACATCGGTCCTTTTCAAGAAGGCCAAGAATGGGGTTAAGCTCCAGCGGAGCCCAGACAGGGCCCTGGAGAATGGCGAGGACCATGGCGCGGCGGGCTCTCCCTCCTCTCCAGCCAGCATTGAGGATGAGCACCGTTCCCGGAAGCGGCCAAGGAGCAGGAGCGGTAGTGAGAGCGAAGGGGAGAGGTCCCCCCAGCAGGAGGAAGAGACAGGTGACCCTGCCTGTGCTTCTCTCGCTTCTTCTCGTCTGCCTTTCCGCTTTGCCTGGCCGGCCAGCGCCTGCCCCAGGGAGCCAGCTCCCTAGTGGCCTCTGGGGACGCCCGTGGTAGCATGGGGGAGCCGTAGCTTTCATTTGGGCCTGGCACTTGAGCCATGGCTTGTGGCAGCAGGGGTAGTGGTGTTTTCAGAGGCCCAGGGTGTGTCCAGGGCCCTATTTGGCTCAGCGGAGATGTACTGTATGTGATGAAATGGGTCCACCTTCATTTCAGTTCATTCATCCGATGTTTATATCAGGCACTGTCTTCGCTGCTGGGAGAAAAGCTCAGTGAACAGAAAAGGGAAAAATCTCCTCTCTCAGAGGGGAAATAGACCTAAAGCAAATGAAGTATCTTGTATTAGCAGCTTTGGAGAAAAACCCAGAAGGAAGAGGGGGATAGGGCACACTGGGGTGGCATTCGAGAGGGTGGCCAGGGAGGTGACATTTAAGTAAAGATCTGAAGGGGCTGAAGGCACCAGCCGTTTGTATATCCAGGGGACAAATACCGCCAGAAGACAGATTAGCAAGTGTGTAGCCACGGGGTGGGACTGAGCCTGCCCGTCCACCGAGCAGTGAGTATGCTGTGGCCGAGTGTGGGGGTGGTGGGACCGGGTGGTGGGTCATGGGGACTGGACTTACATGTCCAGCTCGAGCTGGTCCCTGGGAATGGGGCCACAAAGCGAGTCAGAGTCAGCTCCAACTCTGGAAGCATCACTGTCTAGTAGGGGAACGAGGTCGTCACACACAGGGCGGAGAAGTCGCCCGGTGCTCGGGCCGAGTGGCAGATGGCAGTGCAGAGCGGCTGGGGGCCTGAGCCGACGGGGCTGGGAAGGCTTCTCGAGGAGGGGCGGCCAGCCCAGGCACGAGGGCGGGCAGCCTTGGGCCAAACCTGTGTGGGTGGGGCAGGGCTCGCAGGGCTCCAGGTCAGGGGGCGAGGGCCAGGCAGAGCGGGTTAGTCTTTTGCTCCTCGTGTTTCTGTCATGTCCTTTTCTGTGGTGGCTTTGAACTGTGTGGCCAGCACTTGCTTCTTTCGCTTTGTGCCTACCATTTTGTTTTTGACAGTATCTTCCCTTCCCATCTGGTCCAAGCTTCCCTCTGTGGGGGCAGAAGGTTGATAGAGGCAAGAACTTGAAGCCTGGGGCTGAGTATACCGGAGTTTGGATCACAGCTTGTTATGTATGAGCTGTGTAATCTAGGAAAATTAATTCACCTCTCTGAGCTTGTTTCCTTAGTTCTGATATGGAGATAGCAGTAGCTACCTTGTAAGGCTCTAAGGAATCAGAAACAACCTATATAAAGCCCTTAGTAGACAGCAGTTATTGTCATCCTCTGCACTATATCCGGCTGAGCCAGACAGCTAAAAATGAAAGCTCCTGCTGTTGAGAACATAGTGTAGACAGCAGGTCCATCCTGCCTGAGGGGGCTGCATAGGGCCCCACGAGAACCTGTCCCTCGCGCACCATCACAGCTGCCCGGCGCCAGGAACACCTCCATCCAGCCTTAGCGGACGCGCACAGAGGCAGGCGTTGATCCTTCCAGGCCAGGTCGTCCTGTGAGAGGCAGGGCCCAGTCAGGCTGTGCACAGCTGGGCACCGGCACCCGCTCTTCCAGGTGTGACCTGCTTCAGAGTTTGTGCGCAAGGTGCCTGTTACGCTCTCCAGTCAGGCGCCTGGCCCACTGCTGTCCTCTTGGCTTCCCGTCGGAGCGTGGGGCTCAGGAGTATGGTGAGAAATCAGATACGTAGGAGACTGGGTGCACGGCACGGCCACGTCCCCGGGTTGGCCGGCTCGCCTGCCTCGAAGGCTCCTGTGTAACCAGGCGCTCCCTCGTCCATGCTGCTGAGCGTCCTCCAAGGGAGGAGGCATTAGCTTCACTCACAGAAGAAACAGCCAAGGCTTAGTGCGGGAAAGGGACCAGTATTTCAGGGCCCAGCCTAGAAACCTTGTCTTAGGATTGTCTGGGCTGCTGTAGTTCTGGAAAGTATCCCGTCCTCCACTCTGACCAGCAGTGCACGGTGGCCTAGGTGGACTGGGTGCGGTCCACGCGGAGGCCTTATCATGCCCCAGCCTCTCCAAACACCATCCCCAGAGAGTGGGGCCAGCTGTTGCCAGCTGTGCAGGAGGCAAGGCATGTGACGTTTATCTAAAGAGGCAAGGCGGGTGGGCTCAACTGGATCCTGATAATTGAGAATTTTTCCCTTTTTTTTTTTTTAATACCAGGAATCGAACTCAGCACCTTGCTCTTGCCAGGCAGGCACTGCGTGGCTGAGCTATGACCCCGGCCCCTGAGGTTTGAAATTAGAAGCAGATCCAGGGACTTGTGAGCCCGCCGGGATGGGGAAGCCTTGGTATTTTCCTCTGTAGCAAAATGACAGTAGTCAAGAGTCAGCTATGTGCAGTATTTTCCTTAAAAGTAAAAAGGATGGGAAGGGAAATGGAGTGTCTGTTCCTCGCCCGAGCCAGCAGTGTTCCCCCCAGCCTTAGTCTTTGCACTTCTCTCCACCACCCGTTTCCCACGGGGAGGAGCAGCCCCCGCTCTCCCTCCTCCCTGCGCTCTCTGGGGGTGGCTGCCTTGTGCCGCCGCCATGCCGGGGGAGGGGAGTTCCTGCACGCAGGTTCACGCTGTGTGTCCTTGGCAGGTGTGACCAATGGCTTTGGAAAGCATGCCGAGAGTGGGTCTGACTCGGAGTGTAGTTTGGGTCTCAGCGGTGGACTGGCATTTGACGCTGGCAGGTAAGGACCCTTGTCCTCAAAGCTTTGTCAGCAGTTACCACCCCTCCCTTCAGTCGCCGTTCAGCGACAGGGTGAATGTCTTCCTTCTTATCTTGGGTCTCACCCTGCCGTTTCCTGAGGCCTCTGGTGTGTAAGTCTGGGATCTCCTAGGAAACGGGGTGACCCTTGTCTCCCAGGTCTGCTTCTGCTAAAAGGAGTGGCGCTGATGCTCGGTATAGGACTGGTGGCCTGCCGTTGGGCTCTGGAGGATGGGGAATGGCTGAATCTCCTTTTGCGGGGGAGTTAACATTTGAACCGCTGCACGCCCCCACTCCTATGGCATCACCCAGCTGGTTACAGACCTTGTCCTCGGCCTCTTGGGTTTCAAAAGCAGTGGTCCCTCGGGGGGTGCGGTGTAGAAAGAAGGGATGAGGCCCTTTGGAGTTGCCTCTTACTTGGACGCACGCTCCAGCTCGTCTCCCATCCTTGAGCTGGAAAGGGGTGAATTTCTTTGGTCATTCTTTAACCTGGAGGGAGGATTTCTGAGAACAGAACCTTCAGGTTTCTTCCAAGTCCAAAAGTTGAGTGAGCACGCGCTCTGTGGTGTGTATGTAGCAAGACCTCGGGGAGAGTGGGACTCTTGGGCAGGAGACTCAGTGCAAAGAGGAAAGTGCCCAGACCTGAAGCCTGATGTCGTGGCCCCGGGTGCCTCGGTCCAGGCTCGCAGAGGACAGGCTTCCGGGCAGCGCCAAAAGAGGAGCTGTCTGTGTTGGGCGGCTTTCACGGCGGCTTAGTGTGCCCTCTCCTGGCTGGTGGGTTCCAGCTGGGGCTGCGGGACCAGCCTACCCCCTGGCCTAGACTGATTCCTTGCTTCTGTTCCTTTGAGATTTTCCTCCCCACAGAGCCTCAAAATTGCCCTAGCGTGCTCTTGCGTGCTCTCTCCCTCTTTCTCTTTCTCCTTTCTCTCTCTCTCCCCTTGTTGAAGCCTTCAGCAAGACATGGGGAATAGATGGAGAAAACAGCAGACACAGGACAGAATCTCAGGATGCCTTAAATCTGGTCCTGTGTTGAGTTCCAGGCGTCCTTCAAAGAGAGAGTCTGCAAGCCCAGCTTGTAGGGGTTGGGGTAGGAGCGTGGTCATCCAGTTCTTCCCTTCTGGTCCTTGACTAAAAGTCCCCTCCATGAAGGACACTGCCCAGCTGTGTCACAGGAGCAAGCCAGGCCAGGCTGTGCTCAGCCTGCTGGCTCGGGCGCTGTTTGCCTGTCTGCAGAACTCGGGGCCACTGGTTTCACCGGGCTCCTGCTGGGTGTGCGCACAGTGCCCTTGGAAGGCATTTCCTCTTCACCTCAGTGGCTCTCAGTGGAATTTCAGGCTTCAGAATGAGATTCAAGGACCCCAAATGCAGGGTTTTTTCTTCTCTCTCTTTTCCCTCTTCTATCATAGTAAGAACATAAAGGAAGGTCTTGTTTATTAGACTGAAATTATGTCATCCCAGAATTAGAAAAACCTTGGGTCCAACCAACCACCCACTGCCTCTTCCCATCCTGCCCCTTCGTTGATCTTTCCTGCTGGTTTTCTGAGCAGGTCGGAGCTGCACTGTCCCCCTAGGTCACTCTGGTAACCGTTGGTGATTGTGCACTTGCTGTGGCCCACGCTGTTCCTAGCACTGATAAGGTATCTCTTCTCGCGGAGCTTACCTTCTAGGCGAGAGATGGAGGTTAAACCAGCAAACAAGACACTCACAGGTTAGGCCTGAGTCACCTAGACATGGGGCTGACACGCAAGCCAGGGTTGAGTCAGTTGTGCTTCTTTTTTTTTTTTTTTTGGTACTGGGAATCAAACTCAGGACCTTGCACTTGCCAAGCAAGGCGCTGTGCCGCTGTTGCGCTTTTGTTAGAAACAGGCATTTGGGGTGTTGTATTTTATTGAGCTCCTATTTCTCAGAGCTCGTCGTTCCGTACTATAACATTAATTTAAGTAACACGTTAAAATTTACTGCCCTTTACATGATAACCACAGCTGCCGTTTTCGAGGGTCTGGCATGTGCTGTACCGAGTACTCTACGTGTATCGATGCGTTAACTCCCCACAGCACTCTGGCGAGCGCAGACCTCAGAGAAGTGAAGTGATTTACTTGAGATCACAGAACTAATGAGAAGAGCTGGGTTTAAGCCTATGGGCTGGCTCCGGAGTTTAATCTCTTAACCGCTTTGCTGTGCTCTTTTCCTGTTGTGTTTGGAGGTGTTTTCCCAGATTCCTGATGAACTTTGAAAGGATTTCCTAATGAAATTACCAGCATCTCACATCTATGCATAGCCTCAGAGTCTCTGAGCACATTTTGACTAATAAGAAAAAGATTTCCAACCTAACTACTCTTTACTGAAGGATTATGATGCATAGGTTTTGGGGTGTTTTTTTTTTTTTGGTCTTTTTGAGACATGTTCAGGACAGCCTTGAGCTCACTTTGTAGCCCAGGCTGGTCTCACACTCAAAACAGTCCTCCTCCCTCAGCCTCCTGAGGGCTAGGATTACAGGCGTGCGCCACCACACCTAGCTGATGCAAAGGTTTAGATGAAGCAAAATTTTCCTTTTCTTTTTTTTCCCCCTCTGTCTTCACTACTGAGGATTGAACCCACAGCCTTCACACTAAGCTATATTCCCAGTCCTTTTTTAATTGTTATTTTGAGACAGGGTCTTACTAAGTTTCTAAATTGCCCAGCTTGGGCTCAAGCTTGCCATCTTCCTGGTCCAGCTTCCCAGAATGTTGGAATTACAGGCTACACCACTGTATCTGGCCACGGAGTTCTTTCAGTATAGTGATAAAGTCAGTTCTGACCCAGTAAAATAGAATATCCCAGTCTCCAGCCATTCTTAACCCTTGGCTACTGCTTATCCAGGGTTTCCTAAGCATTTTCTACTTTTATACAACTGTTGACTTATCCTTTAAGCATTTTTTTAATTTGAAAAAGTTATATAGTGGTAATATTTTTTTGAAGTTTGGGTAGAAAAAAGCCCTACCCACTTCCTTCTTGTCCAAGGGTTATCAATGTGGCCATATATTAGAATTGCACATGGAGCTACACTGATGGTTGGGTGGCCTCAGTTGTATCACGGCTTCAGTATTGCTATTCACAGATTGGCTTATTCCTTTCTAGTCTTTGTCTGGTATATTTCATCTCTTTTGTAGCCATGTTTTAAAAAATGGGTGTACTTTGTAATTTAAAAAAAAAAAAAACAAAAAACCATCTCTCTCTGTCTATCCAAGAAAAACTTCACACATAAACCATTTGGAAGTGAGAAGTTGATTTTTTTCAGTTTAAAAATGTCTTTTCTAATTCTGAAAGTATGACATGTCCATTATAGAAAATTTGGAAAAGAGGCAAATTTCTATACCTCAAAAATAAAATGCTTTCTAAAGAAACAGCATGTAGACCACAGAGTAAGGAATTCTGGGCAAATACAATATGGCCACTGTCTTACTTTCTCATTGCTGGGACAAAATACCTGACCACCCACAAGTTAAAGGAGGAAAGGGTTATTTCAGCTCACAGTTTGTAGAGGTTTCAGCCCATAGTCAGCTGGCTCCAAGGCAGGGTAACGTGGCAGAAGGGCCTGGCAGAGGACAAACAGTTCATGTGTGGCAGACGAGAAGCAGCTAGCCCTCCTTTCCCTTTTTATTCCAGGCTACAAGCCTATTGGTTGGTGCCACTCATAGCCAGGGCAAGTCTCCATCTGTAGTAAATCCATTCAGTCACGCCCAGAACTACGCTAACCCAATTAGCGGGTGAATCCAGTGTCATACACCCATGTCCCAGTCACTACCAGAAGCCCCACCTATAAGCACTTGAGGCTGTAGGGGACATCTAGATAGAAGCCATACTAGCCACCCCTCATGACAAGGTGCTGAGCCTCTGGAAGTGACAGGTGACAGGGTGACTTTTCCCTGACAGAGACCTTCCGGGTTCAGTCCTTCTATGTTATGAAATGATTCCTGAAAACCTGGTGGGGACTTGCAGGTGGGAAGTTGTCGTGGCTCAGTGTGAGCTGGGGGGAGGTTGAGAAACCATCTTCTCTGAGGGCTTTTGCGGCTCCGTGCCTGCCCTGCCCGAGATGGGAAGCGCTAGTGGTGGCTTGGTCGTTGGAACTGCTCATTCAACCCTATCTCTGTCTGCTGTGTGTGCAGCGGTCTGACACCTCCTAAGCGCAGCCGCGGGAAGCCGGCCCTGTCTCGAGTGCCCTTCCTGGAAGGTGTGAACGGAGACTCCGACTACAGCAGCTCAGGTGAGGAGCGGTGGTAGGCGGAGCGGGGGGGCCAGGCCTTCAGAGGAGCCGGCGCAGCAGGCCGCTGTGCTGCTGGTGCTCAGAACCAGTCCACCACCCCCGCAGCACCGCAAACCCCCTGGTACTGGCCAGAGATGGCCTGGGCTCCTAGGCCATTCATGCTTCCTTTAAAGAAATCATCCTAAACTTGAATATGTAATACTTGCCCATGGTAACAAAAATCTGAAGGGTAGCAGAGGGCACGTAATGAAAGCCAGCACGCCCTTCCTTGGAACACCAGTGTGAGCATTTGCTTCAGTGCCTTTCCGGAGGTGACCCGTGAATGTGCAAGCCAGAACTTGTGTGTGTGCTTAAGACAGTGATAGAGAAGTCCAGTGCACTCATTCCTCTGCGATGCTGTTCCTTTTTTTCCAGTTAATAAAATACCTTAGTGATCCTTCTGTGCTTTGTAGTGGCTGCCTAGTGTCCCGTTATACAGGAGCGCCTGCCTTCGCGTAGCCACCCGTAAAGGTGGACACTTAGGTTCTTTTCACTGTTCGTTATCATAGTCAGTATTGCTTTGAGCAACCTTATGTGTGCATAGGTCATCCTGTATCCGCGGGGAGAATACCTGTGGAAGCAGAATTGTTGACTGGAAGGAATTTGTAATTTTGATGGCTATTGCTTGTCTGCTGTCGGAGTAGTCAGTGATAGCCTGAAGCTCACATATAGCCCTGGAGTTTTATGGATCTTGTCTTCTTGGACCAGTGGAGTAGAAGGACAGGACGGGGTGGGGTGGTGCCCCAGTGCAGCGGGCGCAGGGGAGGCAGAGCTCACCCGGGGCAGTCTGGGCGCTGCCTTTGAAGTTTCCATCTCGCATACAGGCTGTGGGGTTTCTCTCCCCTCCTCCCTTTCCCCAGCTGCTCTCCCTTCCCGTAGCATCCATTTCCGTGTGCGCGTGTGTTGATGAATGCGTGCTTGTGCGTTTCATTACTCTCCGTGACTGTCAGCCCCCAGCAGGCAGGACTTGTGTCCAGATGAATTTGTGTAACAGCTAAGCTCAAAACCAGAGTGGATTGGCGCACTTTTCATTTCTGGTGACATGTTATTCTTATTTTTAAAGCTCGCATACTTAAAATGATGCCAAAAGAAATTTTAAAAGGGGATTGAGCTCTCATAGTTCTATCATCTTAACACGGTTGTCTTCATTTCTGTGTTGCCTTCTGTTTATTTTAGGCACATCCTTAACAAAGTGCTAATCCAAGACACATGATCCTACTTTTTTTTACCGTTCCCTCATACTTAGTTCATGCGGACACATAACCTTTCTGTCTCATAGTATTGGTACCCTGTATCGAACAATGCTGATTTACTCAACTGATTACTGATTTAGACACTAGGTGATCTCGGACTTCTGCCATCACACATGATGTGGTGAATCCACATTTTTGTTCAAAATCTCTTTATTTGTTTTTAAAGTTATTTTTCTTAGAATAAATCACCAAGGAAGGAATTTACTGGGGAGCAGATGGCTCATACGTTTTTTTAATGGCTCGGAGACATACGGCCGGATTGCATTCCGCAGGGAGCGGGCTGGTCTGCAGTCTCCCCGGCAGAGGCAGCGGATGACGGCACCGCTTTCCCTCAGCCGTCCTCTTCAGTGTCAGGTTTTAGCTTTTTATTGTTGTTGCTGTTGATTCAGCAGAATCAAAATAGTACCTCATTATCCTTTTGGTATATTTTAAAAAATTCTAAGGGTGGTCATTTTTCCTGGGAAATATAATTGCCTTGAGATTTGGGTCTTTCTTCCCTTGGTCCAACGCGGTCACCTCCCTGCTCCGGATCTGTAGATGTGGGGAGGGAAGGGCGGTCCCTCTGGGGTCCAGGAGCGCTGGCGAAGCGCCGGCGGCAGAGGGAAGTGAGCGGTGTCAGCTGCAGCGGGACACCAGTGTGGAGAAGGTGCTGACCACGGCAGGGATGTGCAGGTTCTTCTGAGTGCCATGTAGCCCCATGCCCTGGATGGCCCGGTGCAGCTCGGTTAGAAAAGAACCGATTTAGCAAGCGGTTTTCCTGGGGCGCCCTTTGTAGGCCTCTTTTTCCATGAAGCCTCTGTCATGAGAGCTCCTCGCTCGGGAACCGGAGATTGGTGTGTGGCTCTGCCTGAGCCAGGGTAGGGCTCTCCTGCCCGCTCTGGGGACGGGCAGTTTCATTCTCGCAGGGAAAGTCATCATAGGGTTCAAGTTAAGAGGTTGGTAAGCTGTGGGCTGCTGCCTGCTGATGAGCTTAGATTTTGTTTGTTGCTTTTGTTTACGTTTTTCAATGATTAAAAAAAATCAAAAGAAGAAAGTTTCAGGACATGTGAAAACGACATGAAATGCAGATTTCAGGGCCCAGAGCAGAGTTGTGTTGGTTCCATAGCCGCGGTCACTTGTTCCCACGCCGTCTGTGGCTGCTTTGCTGCTACCACTGCAGAGCTGAGTAGTTGGGGCGGAGACCACGTGGCCCGTAAGACCTACACTGTGTCTGGCCATAGACACAGCTGGTTTGCCGACCTCTGATCCAATCTGCGAATTTCTCCCGAGGGAAAGGTAGGGCAAAGGAAGGGTGGAGGGGATGTTGCCAACTCATTACTGGGCTGCCCCAGTCGTCTGGAGGCCACAGGCAGGGCTTTTGGGCATCATTCCAAGTCCCCTTTGGGCACTGTCTCCTCCCCTCCCCCACCCCCAGGCAGAAGCCTCCTGCTGCCCTTTGAAGACCGCGGAGACCTGGAGCCCCTGGAGCTGGTGTGGGCCAAGTGCCGAGGCTACCCCTCCTACCCTGCCCTGGTGAGTCTGCCCCAGATGCCTGCTTCTCGTCCCTGGGCGGCTCGGCCCGGCCCAGCCTTGCCTTGGGGGCTTATCTGATTGGCTGGAGCCAGCCGAGTGTGGTGGGGGTCAGGGTGCCTTTAGCTGCTGAGGGGTGGGGGGCTTTCCCTGGCCTTCGTCAGGGCAAGTCAGCAAGGCTCCCAGCTGGAAGAACTTTAAAAAGGCTCCAAGTGGCCAGACAGAGACTAGGGCTCTTAGGGTTTTAATAGCATTTTTTATTTGCTTCTGCATTAAAGTAGTATGTACTTATTGTAAGGGATTTAAAACGCTCTTAACAGTGCTTAGATGTCCGATTGAACATCTGTCATGCTAAGTCCGTGAAATGTTGAGGGAAGCAGAGTTACTCCTGTTTTGTAAGGAAGAAAGGTCTGTTACCTGTGGTCAGCCACCTAGTAAGTGGCAGGGTTGGAGTTTGAGCCCATGGCTCAAAATACGTGATATCAAAGCCTGTGTTCTGAGCCGCTGAGTTCAGACTCGTTCATTGTGCTTAGGGATAAGCTGGTGTGTGACCAGCCTTCCTCTAGTGCATAGACAGGCATGTCCGTGAGGCCGAGCACAGTTTTAACCTTCTTCACTTAACAGCACACCGTGAACACGCACGATTCATGCCATTACACACACTGTGTCAGCGTCACTGAGTGACCACATCGTCTTCAGTTGCACCCGTGTACCATGTTTCGTTCATCCTTTGGTTGGTTATTTAGACTTTGAATTTTTCACTATAATAAACAGTTGGCAATAAACGTTATTGTAGCTTTACCTTTGTGTACATCCATGGTTATTTCTTCACACTGACCTCTTAGTGCCTTCTAGGGGCTAAGTCTGGACAAAATTTGGATACAAGTTGCCTGACAGTTCTGATTTATGTTCCCCACTAGCAGTAGCTAAGATTCGCAATAGCTGAAACTTTTCTTTTTACCACCTTGTTATTTCTTGGAGCTCTATCTCAGTACAGGAGGGAGTGTCCACCCCGCTGTGGAAGGTGCCACTGATTCAAACCCTCGGGGGCCTCAGAGTCACCTGGAAGAGTTTTTTAAGCAGCACGTACACCAAGTTAGCCCCGCCCTAGAACTGCTGAGGTAGATTCTCTGAGGCCAGAGCGAGGCAGGAGTATTTTTTCCAAAGCCTCCTGGATGATGTGAACCTGGGATGGGAACCGCCCTGCGCGCTCTCCCAGGCAGTCAGAGCTCTGTGCTTCTCCCAGCCCTTCCCTGCCTATGGCTCTTGAGTCTACGCAGCGCCCCCAGATAACTGCAGGAAGTCTGATCCTGTTGGACAGGTAGGAGGGCGTCCCACAGGGCCTGCACGGGTTGCTGGAGCCGTACTGAGCCCTGTCTCGCTCACCTTGCTCTCCCGGCAGTGGCAGGCACGCCGTGATCCTGCAGCCGGGGAAGTTGGCCCAGGACTGCCCGACTTCACAAGGCTGGAGACCTCAGTGCTTAGTCATTACAAGTGCAGTCAAGGCTGTGCATGTTTAGATTTATTGTTATGACTCTTCTTTAATCTCACAATGCACAAACGTTGATTCAAAACTAGTGTTTTTTGTTTGTTTGTCTTTTTGAGGCAGGGTGTTGCTGTGCAGTTCAGGCTGGCCTTGAGCTCACTTTGTTTTTTTTTGTTTTTGTTTTTTTTTTTGGTTTTTCTCCGGTACCGGGAACCGAACTCACGACCTTGCGCTTGCCAGGCAGGCGCTTTTGCCGCTGAGCTAAATCCCCAGCCCTTGAGCTCACTTTGTAGCCCAGGCTGGTCTGGAACTCCCAATGATCCTCCTGCCTCAGCCTCCCAAGTGCTGGGATTACAGGCGTGCGCCACCATGCGCTGCTAAAACTAGTGTTTTTTAAAGATTACTTATTTGGGATGGCAGCAGCATTGGGGATCAAGCCCAGGACTTCACACACACTGAACACTCTACCACTGAGTCAATCTTCTTACATATTTCCATTCGTGATGAAAGAAATTCCAGCACCACCTGAATAGAACTTATTTTTTTATGTTGATGCATGCTATTCCAGTCCTTTTCCTGTGCATACTTCAGTATATATTTGCATACTGTATTGTGTTTTAATCTTTTATTTTAAGCTTTTTTTTTTCTTTTTGAGACAGGGTCTCACCATGCAGTTCAGGCTGGCCTCGAGCTCACTTTGTAGCCCAGGCTGGTCTTGAACTCACAACAATCCTCCTGCCTCAGCCTCCCCAATGCTGGGATTACAGGCGTGTGCCACCACACCCAGAGGCCTTTGTCTGTTTTAAAATGGGTCTCACTGTGTTGCCCAGGTTGGACTGTAACTCCTGTGCTCAGGTGACTGTCCTGCCTCAGCCTGCCAAGTAGCTATCAGACACTATCAGTGCATGCCCCTGTGTCTGGCTTAAGTCTGTATCTTTTAAACACATACGGTATTTTTGTTTTTTTTTTTTGTAAAAGTAACACATAGCACATTATAAACATTTTGGAAATACAAAGAGGGAAAAAAGTATCACAAACCCCACCATCTAACACATTGACTCAAGTATCTCACATCATTCTTTTACTGGTGGTTCGCATATTACGGTTGTAATAGTGTAAGTGCACATTTACTGTGTGATACGGTGTTCACCACAGCTTTATTTTCATGTGCTTCGCATCCGCATGACTTTCACTGAGTGAGTGGACCATTGCTGTGTGGGGACGGGAAGGCTCTCCTCAGCGGAGAGCAGCGTGTCTGCCTTGCCTTTGCCCTCTGGAAGTTTGCCCAGCCCCTCTTCGCCAGCATCTCTTGGTCGTGCAGGCGCTGAGAAGGGCGTGTGGTTCCTCGTTAGGGCCCTGAGCTGCGGCCCCAGGTCGGACTGAGACGGGGAGAGTTTTGACCCGTGCCGGCACTGGCCGCTGGGTGGGTGCGGTGCTTTTTAGAGTCGGCTCTTCTCTAGAGCACGTGCCTTCGCCCTGTCGGGAGAGGGATGTGGGGAAACTGGTAGGTGCCCAGAGGGAATAATGAGAGTAGTTTATTCTGGGACCGGGCCCTCTAGGACAGGAATTAAGGTGGCTCCGTCTCCAGAGAGGGCTGCTTCCTCGTATGTTTCTGAGGTCTCTGGCCCCAGGAACCGTGAGCCAGTTGCTCTGGACTCAGGCTTCAGCCAAGACCCAGCTTGCCCAGGCGTCGGGCTCAGGTCCCAGCCGTGGCTTCAGCGAGCCCCCTCCTTCTGTGCTGGGCTTTTTCCTCTGTCGGTGAGCACCTTTCAGGAGGCTTCCTGGCACCCACAAGCGCTTGAATGCGATCAGGTGTGGATAATTGGGAGCTTTGGCAGTGTGCAAGGTGCTCCATCGACCTGGAGAGTTAGTTTCGTGTTGGTGCTGCCAGGCACTTCGCTGAGCAAGCGCTCTGGGCTGGGCACGCGGCGCTGGGTGCTGGAAACAAACCTGGACAAGACGGGCCTAGTGCGTGCACTTCCGAGTGCGCAGCCCCGCGTTCCTGCCCCTCCACCGGCCCTGCGGCTCAGGCCCTGGGGGCGGCACAGCTGCCGCAGGAGGGGTCCGAGGTGGAGCAGGAGCTCCGTTCTGTAAACTGCAGGGGCGGCCCCTGCTGACGCCGAGCCCTCCGAGCCGTGGCGCCCGGGCCGGGCCCTGAGCACTTGCGGTGCGTTGCAGGCTCTAAAGGGAAATTGAGAAGCAAGAAAATGATCTCTCCCCAAAGAGACCTTGAGAGGAAGGGGTTTGTTGCCTGGACAGGTTCAGAGACCCCACTTCCTCCCCTCTTCCTTGCTTCCCACTGCTGTATTAGCTCTGGGGCCCCACAGTCCGTGGAGCAGTTCCCTCATCAAGACTGGCTGGGCGGGGCTGAGGAGCAGGGCAGCGAACTAGGGGGACGGAGCCCCCCCCACTGCAGTGTGTGAGGGCCGGGGAGATGCCCAGCCTCCTCCATCGCTCGGTGTGGGCGGAGCCGAGCCTCTGAGTGGCTTCGATGTGGGGTGAGTGAGCCCCCCTCCTGAGCACCCGCCTCCCTCTCTCCCTCCAGATCATCGACCCCAAGATGCCCCGGGAGGGCCTCCTGCACAATGGCGTCCCCATCCCTGTGCCCCCGCTGGACGTGCTGAAGCTGGGAGAGCAGAAACAGGCAGAGGCTGGAGAGAAGCTCTTCCTTGTCCTCTTCTTTGACAACAAGCGCACCTGGTGGGTGCAGGGCCCAGGGGCGGGGCGGGGCGCTGTGGTTACTGGCACTGCCATAGCTGGGGTTGGCGCTCGGGTTCCTGGGAAGCCGGCTGAGGTGGAGCTTGGCATCAGCTGGGTGGGGAGAGCACGCCCGGGGAGGGACGCAGCCCTGAGCGGAGGAGGAAGGGCCAGGGTGAGCTCGAGTGGAGGCTCAGCTCGTCCTCCAGTGTGCTCAGGAGGGCTGTTGGTGGTCGGGCCGTGTCTCTGTGCCCTAAGGCACCGGCCCTGGGGAGTCTGCGACCTCGGGCTGGGCAGCAACCTTGGTGGTAACCCCTGGAGAGGGACTTAGTGTGCCCAGCAGCTGCTAGCGTGGCGCCCTGTGAAAGGGACTCGCTCCCCACAGTTTATGCACCTAAAGGTGTCTGGGCATCGGCAGGAGGGCGCTGTCACCCCTGCTCCCACGGAGTGAGAAGGTAGGACTGGCCGATAAGAAGGATGACAGTAGCTGCCATGTATTGATTAAGAGCTTGGAGTCCTTACCACGTTGCCTGTTCTTACTTAGTTCTTAAGGCCCTCGGTCCATTTTTCATATGGGAAAACTGAGGCCCAGAAAGTCAAGACCCCAGCCCTACTGCCCAAACTGGGGTCCACACCAAGATCCGACTCGACAGGCTGCGCTCCCAGCCACATGCGGTGGAGCTGGGGGGCGTTGGTACACGGGCACACACAGCACAGGCCCAGGAGACCTGCGGGCGCCTGGCTTCTGCTCTCCTTCCCAGCCAGAGCTCGCCAGCTCCCTAAGGCAGCGAGGCTCAGACGCCACCCATGGGGTGGCGGAGCGGCTTCTCGTGGCTCCAGGACCAACAGCCCTCAGAGCACAGAGGCCCCAGGGAAGGGCCTGGCTGCCAGCCCCACACACCGGGCCCTCCTGGGTCTTGGGGCTCCTGCCTGGAGCCTCCCCCCTGCCCATTCCGCCTTGCACCCCGTGGCTGGGCCTCGCTTGTCTTGGGCAGGGGCCCCAGAGGAACCCACGTAGGTCCTCAGAGCGCAGCTTCTGAACCTCACTTGCGTTTCAGGCAGTGGCTCCCCAGGGACAAAGTGCTGCCCCTGGGTGTGGAAGACACTGTGGACAAGCTCAAGATGCTAGAAGGCCGCAAGACCAGCATCCGCAAGTCGGTACAGGTGGCCTACGACCGTGCCATGATCCACCTCAGCCGAGTCCGGGGCCCCCACTCCTTTGTCACCTCGAGCTACCTGTGAGGGCGGGGCGGCCTGCGTCTGCCTGCGCCGCCTTGCCGGGCCTCCCTCCCGGGCGCACGGGGAAGACTCCTCTGCCCAGCCAGACACTTGGCAGGCAGCTTGCCCGCTCAGGGTAGCCTGAGGGCTAGACTGTGCCCCCACTAAAGGGAACGCCCCCATTTTGACCATTCACACGATTCCCTGGAGGGCCTGCTGTGTGCCAAAACCTGCTGGGGCTCGCTCCGGGCTGTCCACCGAAGAACCACTCGCTGCGGGCTGGGCCAGCCAAGGAGCCGGCCCTGGCCCAAGCCTAGGCCCTGAGGTGAGAAGCCCGGGCTCCTTCTCCGCCTGCCTGGCTCCCTGCATCCCCTCGGGGTGGCCAAGGCTCCGCTGACCCCAGAGATGCTGTGGATGCCCAGGGCCCTGGGCCTCCCCGAGAGCTCCCCACCCCTCTGCCCGCCTCCCCTGTCTTCCGCCCTGAGGCCCAGGCGCCCGCGCCCTCTTCCCGTCCTTCCTTCCTCTCTTGTGCCAAACTGACAGAAACATCACCAAACATGACCTTTTCTTTCATGTCTCATTCTCCTCTTGCTCAGCTGCTGTCCTAGGTGGGTGTCAGGGCCCAGGCAGAGGGCAGCCCACCCCCAGGGCCCCCACCCAGAGACCCCCACTTCTGCTGCTGACCCTCGAGGCCCGGCAGACCACGCCCTCTGCCCTTGCTGTGGGAGGGCCGGCTTCTGTCAGCAGGCCAGGCCGGTGGGGTTTAAGGGTGGCTGGGATCTTTTACAGAGCAGATCCCCAGGCCCGCACCAGCGCCCCCATTCCTCCCCAGGGGGCTCAAGCTGTGCAGCTGCGGCCGTGAGCCCATACACCAGGGCACAGCGGGCAACACAGCACTGCCCTGCCTCAGCTTCCCGCCGGTGCCCTGCCGGCCGGCTCTCCTGCTCCCGCTCCCCAGCCAGGGCCAAGCAGGGGTCGCAGCCCTGATTTCACACCTGTCTCCTTCCTCCTTCCCGTCATCTCTTCCCCGCCTTCACCTTCTCAAAAGTGGAAGGGAAAAAACTGTGAATGGGGAATGCTGACTGACAGACCAGCGCAGCTTTCCAGGGCCCCCACGTCTGTCCTCGGGACGCTCCTTTCACCTCTTACGCACCAAAGTCGCAGGGCCCGGCTGCAGGCCGCTGATCGCCATGTTGATTTTTAACTCGACGTTCTTTTTAATTGTTTTAAATTTTTCATAGGGGAGTTTTGGACAAAACAAAGTCACTGGGGAGATCACTGCCATTTTTACACACTTCAACTTTTTAAAAATACAAGCAACCACACACCAACTTCTTACACATTTGGGACACGAGCCAGAGTTTAAAAGGGAACCAACAAAAGCTCTCTATCACACACAGGATGGGACTTGGGGTTTTGTACAGTAATAAAAACAATACAGCATATGGCTAGGGAAGGACGTGGTGTATATAACTGTAAAATACTGTCCTAAATTATTCAGGCCTGCACTTCCACTGCGGAGTCTCCGTCTCCCGCGCGGTGTGGTTGACTTACGGAGCCCCACACCCTTCTCCCCAGGTAGTTGGTCAGCCGTGGGCTCTGTGACCTTTGTCTAGACCTGTGTCCTGAGACCCGGGCGTCCTCCCTCTCGCTCTCTGTGTATCTAGCTCGCTCTTCCCTCACACTCTCTCCTTAGTCTCTATTTTTCAGTCTCTCTGAATCTTTCAGTCTCTCTGAGTCTCATTTTTAAAAATGCTCTTTTAGAACAGGAAGCGGCTCAGACCCTGCTGTGGCACGGGGCCTCCGTGTCTCTGTCGCGTCTGCTGTGAAGCACACGATGCTCTATTTATTGTAGAAAGTGACTTTATTTGCTTTCTAGAATTGTTTATAACAGATGGTATAAGAGAGATAATAAACAAAAATCTATGCCTGTAAAGAATACAGAAGTTAATTTTACCTACTATAATATGACTGTCGGAAACTTATTTTCTCTCTGAGAAATAAATGTTCTAATGGGCAGCAGTCGCTGCGCCGTGTCTGGTGTGGTCACTGGGGCCTCTGCGCTCCGGCCGCCCTCCTCCTCCTCCTCCGGCCGGGCGGCAGCCGGGGTCGTCTGGCTGCTGAGGCTCCTGGCTAGAGCTTCTGTCTCTGGCCCCCAGGACAGCTGCGGAGAAGATTCTGATTCCTTCCCTCCTGGACCGCGCTGCCTTCTGGGAGACGCAGCCCACCTGCCGGGCCTCGGTGCCCCTGTGGCCATGGTCCTCTAGGAGCCGTGCCCTTCATTGCCTGGGGGACGTGACCCATGGCACACCTCTGGCACCTCTTTGCCAACCTTGCCGAGTCGGAGACCCGGCCTCCGTTGGCACTGTTGCTGTTGCCGTTGTGTAGACGGCCGGCGGAGACGGACAGAGGCCGCACACCGGCCCCTGGTAGCTAGCTCCGGGAGGGACCCTTGAACCTGCCTGGCTTTGGGCGAAACAGGAAACGGGCAGGATGGAAAGACGCGACCAAGGTTGGCTGCCCAAGAAACGGTGACAGTCCTGGGAGAAGGGCCTGGCCGGGGCAGTGCGGGCCTGTGCACCTGCGCCGCGCTGCGCGTGGCTGCCGCACTTCTGGGGAGGGACATCGAGAGGAGCAGGAAGGAGGGGAGGTCCCGGAGACGCAGGCCTTGGTTGCCGGCCCAGCAGCCTCCCCGTGCGTCCTTCCCGTACCGGCCCTCCACACTGGTTCACCAGGCCTGGGCTTCGCTCTGAGGTCTTCGGTCACCTGCACAGGGCGTGTGACATCCTTGCTACTGAGGTCACTGTTGCGGAGGTTGTTGGCTTCGTGTCCCACTGACAGTACCCCAGTGGCAGATCATCCTGCCGTTACATGTTGGGGTACAAAGGTACACATCCCCGGTCTCAGCCACTCAGCTTGATTCTACGACACAGCACAGACAGCGCGAATGAGGCCAGGGTGAGGGTCCCGGCGGGGTGCAGGAGTTGGAGGAGTGGTGGGTTCGGTCTCAGAAACTCAGAAGAGAGAAGCAGTTAACCCTTGAAAAAACGGCATCATGACTTAGGAATTGTATTTTGAGTTACAATTACAAAAATACTACAAGATGTTTAGAGTGGAATTACAAGATAACTCTTACAATACTTCGGAAGGAAAGGAAAGGAAAAGGGGACTGGCCGGATGGGTGGGCTTTTCACAGCACATCCCGGGGAGGTGAGCTGGGGGAAGCAGAGCAAGCAAGGTTCCGGCTCAGGGGAACCCCGTGCCTGCTGCCAGCTCCAGGGAGTGGCCGGAAGCAGGTGACAGGGAGATGCCTCCGGCCGAGAAGCTTTGTCACCAGTTGTGTGACCTGGGGAATGACAGATGTCATAAAGGACCCTGGAGCCAGGGCGCGGCGTCATGGTAGATGGCAGCATCTGTCAGAGCATTTGAACAGGGAAGAGACTTGCTTGGAGCTGACCAACTAATTCAGCCTGAGTCAAAAGGCAGGGGTTGTTGAGTGGCCAGAGGGGTCAAGGGGACTGGGCAGGAGGCGGAGTTCAATTTTGGGTAAGCCGGGGTGAAGAGGCAGCTGGGAGTGATGCCGGGAATGTGGGGGTAGCCGAGCCCACGATGCCCGCAGACTGGCCGAGGAGGCAGGCAGGGGGGAGGCTGGGGCAGGCCCACGTGCCGAGGGACAGTTGGGGGAGGGGACAAGGACAGCCCGCAGGTCATTCTGAAGGTGGAGTGTGTTCAGCACCACAGAGCGGAAGATGTATTGGGCCAGGACCCAGGACCCAGCACCCTCGAGGTGAGGACAGCGTCCCTACTGGATTCTCTCGCTGCTGCCCCGAGATGCCGGGGTGGTACCATGTCCCTGGAGCTCCCACGGCTGTCACCACGGCGCCTACTCTAGACCCGCTTGCTCCCTGAACAGCTGTGGAGCTCCATATGCAGAGGGGCCTCTCTCCTCCCTGCCCCTGAGGGGCGCTCAGAACTGCTGGGGTGCTTTCCAAGTGGGGAGAGGCCGGCGGGGAGCGCTGCCCGGGCTGTCCCCACACTGCGCCCGCCGGTCTCCTCCCAGCGCCCACCTCCGGCTGCAGCGCTGCCCGGGGCCCCACCTTGGTTTGTTGTGAAGTGAGGTCCCCTGTGGGTCATCTTCCCTGCCCCACCTCCTCTCCGGGCCCACTGGGCTCCGAGGGGCTGCAGCCTCTGGCCTCTGGGTGACCAGCAGGCAGAAGGCACTCTTGTTCTGTGCAAATCCTTCCTTGTCCGGGCGACACCTGAAATCCCACCACTAGCGCTCAAGCTTTTATCTGCCAAGGCCAAGATCCGCGGGCTCAAGGCGGTGACCCCGGTTGCAGCGGGGCTGTGGCTCTTTAAAGGACTGGCGGCCCGGGATGGATGAGGCTGTGGGAGCCGGTTCTGATGAGGCGACGCAGCAAGGACACGGGGTCCTTGAGGGGAGGATGAAACGGCGGAGGAGAAAGGCCGCTCACGGTCGGCTGACCTCGCAGCTACGACGCAATTCAGAGCCACAGAGGAAAGGACTCCGGAGCCTCTGGAGCCACTTCAAAGGCATCGCCGGGACCTTGCAGCCGGAGTGAAGGTCGGAGATAAAAAGCAGGGTCGGGCAACGAGACAGGTGGGATCACGGCTTGGAAGCTCAGCCCCAGGAACACAGATTGCAGACGAGGGTTGGGTGGGCCTCTGAGGCTGACCCTGTCCCTCAGCCCCGTGAACGTCCTCAGGGCCGAGGGGTGGGGCTGGGGTCTACATAGCGCGAGGGCGTGGGCTTCTGCGCTGGCAGCAGGATGTCCGGCTCTATCCGAGCCCACCCGGGGGAGGCAGCAGAGCCGGCCGCCCAACCCTCTGCCCGCCCTCCCGTTTCCTCCTTTCTCTCTCTGTCTTCACTCTTTAAGTTTATGGTTTTAATTCCAGTTGGCTTTCACGTGATTCAGAATTCTAAAAATTCAGGAAAGTCTCCCCCTGGTCCTCAGCCTCCCGTTTTCCTCCCCAGAGGCTGTCAGTTTCCCCAGCTCATAGAGAACTTTAGAGCCAGAGGGGCACCCCCTTTTCTATATAAACAGTAGCGCCTTGCTCACCCTGCTCTAGGGCTCATTTTTTAAAATTGTCTTTATTAAACCAGGTGTGGTGGTGCACGCCCGTAATCCCAGTCCTCAGGAGGCTGAGGCAAGAGGATTGCTGGGAGTTCCAGGCCAGCCTGGGTTACAAAGTGAGTTCAAGCCTACCCTGCACTGCATAGCGAGACCCTGTCTCAAAAAAGAAAAATAAAACTCTTTATTAAATATTTGAGCAGGCATAAAATAGTAGTTATAAAATAAAAAACACTCATGATACAATAAACCCACCCAGTATCCAGACCCTGTTCTAGACAGGCTGGGCCTCTCCTTTCTTCTCCTCTCCTCTCCTCTCCTCTCCTCTCCTCTCCTCTCCTCTCCTCTCCTCTCCTCTCCTCTCCTCCCCTTTCTTCTCCTCTCTGCCCCCCCTTCCTCTTTCCCTCCTTTGCCCTTCCCCTCCTCCCCTCCCTTCTCCTTTCTTCTCTTTTTCCATCTTTTTTTTTAAACAGGCTGTGTTGCCTGGACTGGATTCAAATTCTTGGGCTCAAGAGATTCTCCTGTCTCTGCCTCCCAGGCAGCAGGCGCTACAGTCATGCCCCACCACGCTTTCTCCGGGCCTTTTAAATGCTCTGTGAGTCCTTTTCTAGCCCCAACCCTCTTTCCCTAAACTAGCCTGAATTTTATGCTTATTATGTCCCTTTGTTTCCTTTTGTAACCCTGTCACTTATTTATAATACAATAAATATGCATTTACTATGGTCAACAAAATAAATTTTGTAAATAAATAATATATAATAGATACAATAGCTATTATATAATAAATATGAGTATACATCATTATATATCATAAATATATTAAAGTGAATGTAACAATGAATAGTTCCTTGACATTTTGGATGTTGAATAAATAGTTCTCTGCAACTTGCTTTTATTTTACCACTGGCTAGGGTCCTGAGAGTCGGTGTGTAGGAGCGCAGCTGTTCTAGGTTCATTTTCTCTCATCTGGAATCCCATTGTGTGGACATGTGATTAATTTTTGTTGTAATCTTCAAGGCATTTAGGTTTGCTTTCTTTTTTTTTCTTTTGTCTTTTTGAGACAGGGTCTCCCTGTGAAGTGCAGGCTGGCCTTGAGCTCTCTTTGTAGCCCAGGCTGGTCTCGAGCTCACAACAATCCTCCTGCCTCAGCCTCCCAAGTGCTGGGATTACAGGCATGTGCCACCATGCCTGGCCTTTGGGTTTGTTTTCAATTCTCGGAGCGCCATAGGTGAGCGTGTTCTGGGTGGTTTCTCCTATGGAAGTGTGGGGTGGGGTGGGGTGGGAATATCTGGTATCCCAGGGACCGCACGCCACCTGCAGTGCAGTGACAAACCGCTTCCCAAAGTGACGGTCCCCATGCACACACCCACTCGTGCTTTGAGAGCTCGCTTTGACCGCTTTTTGCATTTCCAGACTGCTTCATGGAAAATCATGCCGGTGCGGGCGGGCACTCCCGGGTTGGGTGCCTGTGGGATCGGATGTGGCAAACGGGATGAGCTGCCCGTGCCCTGCGGGGAGCGGGGGCCACGCTGCAGAGTGGCAAGCCATGACTGTCACACAGTGGGCACACAGCAGTGGCAACCCCATCCAGGGGCTTGACCCCCCAGCGGAGCAGCCAGGTTGGAGGTGGTGTGACATTACTCGGCCTGTGGGGACGGGGCCTCAGAGAGGGTGAGAAGCTTGGACGAGGTCACACAGCCTGGAAAGTGGTGCCGCTGGAATTCTGAAGTCTCTGCTTCTCTAGTCTTTCCCTCCCCTCTCCTCCGTCTTTATCCTCTGCCTCTGTCTCTGCCTCCCTCGCTCTTTCTCAGATAAATGTCACTTCCCCACGGGCCCCAAATCAAAGGGCATAAAGGTGGCATTCTGCTTCCTACCCGTACTTCCCAGTTTTTTCCTTTGTAGGGAAGGAAGGTGGGGGCTGGGGATTTAGCTCAGCGGCACAGCGCCTGCCTGGCAAGCACAGGGTCATGAGTTCGATTCCCTGTACCGGAAAAAAAAAGAAAGGGACAACTAAGTGCACCTGTTTCTTACAAGTAGTTTTAGAATATTCTGTGCACATGTAAATGAGTCTATTCTATAGCTACTCTCCTCCGCTTTTTGGACAAAAATATGCTAGCGTCCTGTATGTGCTGTTATACACTCAGGTTTTTGCTTTTCTTTAGTGTCTTTCCCCGTCGGCTCCTGGCGGATTTCCCTGCCTCCGTTTTGTTACCCACGTGTCCCACCCACCCTCTGAGCAGTGGCTGTTCTGGGCGCTTCTGACCTTGTTCCATCACAGACCGTTCTGGGGACGCCGCTGGGGCCCAGGACACTCGCTGGCATGGGCACATCTGTCAGTAGATGTTCTTGTCCCCAAACCTGTTCAGACTTAGCCATAAAAATACTTCTCCCAAAAGCTGGGTGTGGTGGCGCACGCCTGTGATCCCAGCACTCGGGAGGCTGAGGCAGGAGGATCATTGCGAGTTCGAGACCAACCTGGGCTATAAAGTGAGCTCAAGGCCAGCCTGAACTGCATAGCAAGGCCCTGCCTCAAAAAGACCAAAAAAGAAAACCAACAAAAACTTTTTCCTTGTGTAGCCTGAGCCCTCCAGCGTGTTTCCTTGGCAGGGTCTTCTCCCCACACAGGCTGTCTGGGTACAGGTGCTGTCTCCTGGGGCTCCTCCTCAGGGGCAGGAGGCATTGTCCTGTGTTCCCAGCACAGAGTAGGCGGTCACCCAGCACAGCAGGCTGCACGGTCTGCTGATGCATTGCCAGCTCTGCACTCGGCCCTCAGATCACCCCCATGGAGCCCCGGCAAGAATGAGCACCCCAATGTACAGGCGGGCAAGCTGAGGCTCAGGGACGACCTGATCTGCCCTTGGCTGGGATTGACCTTGCCACTTAGGCTGAGGCGGAAACCCAGGGCCCCACACTGCCTCCCTCTGGCCGAGGGAGGACCAGCCCTCCGCTCCCCGGGCAGCCACTCCAGTGATGCAGGGCCTGCAAGCCGGGGCCTGTTTGTTTGTCCACAAAGATTAGAAAGAGGAGACCGTCGGGCTAACACTTCCTGATCTGCACAGCTCTGCAGGCGTGTCTGAGCCAGCCTGCTTCTTGGAAACAGAAGGGGTACGAGGTGCCACCATCGTCCCTGTCGCAGGCTTGGCGGCGAGGAGGAAGGGCTAGTCTCCATCAGTGGCATCCAGCCGATGAACTTTCACTATGGGTACAATTCTATCGGTGGCTAGTTGGTGTCATTGCAGAGACAACAGGAAGTTTTCCCACCAACTGCATTCTCGGTGACGGTGCCATTCGCACCCCAGAGCTCTGGCTCACAACTTCTGCCCTGGTGCCAACACGCCCGGCTTCTCCTGGCAGAAGGGGCCCTCTTCCTTTCCGTGGTTCTTGGTATAAAAATCACACAGCTTGTCCCCAAATGTAAGATGAGTTGTACTATGAACTCAGTCTGCACAGACTGGGCCCTACCAGCTCGGCCCCGACCCGGCTGGGCGTCCCCATGCTGACCAGATGCTGCTCTGAGAGTTCCCTGTGGGGGTTCAGTGTCCACCGCTCCATCCTCTCCCCAGCTCCTCCTTCCTGGGTGCCGAATGGCTCCCCACCCACTGGCCACCCCGAGATGCCCTGGCTTCCCAGGCCTTTGTCCGCCTGTTCCCAACTGCTCTGCCTTCCCTGCCTTGGCCACTGAGTCCCAGGGTCAAGCCCAAGCCCTCAGAGTCCACCGTCGAGCCTCTTTCCAGCCCGTCCCTTTGAGCTTTCCTCCCTGGGGCCCCAGGGCTCACCGACTTCACATCCGTTCACAGCCCCTCCTGTGCGGCTGAGCGCCGTGGTTATCCGGCGCCCGTCTCGTCTACACACCGGCTCACCGTACCAGAGCGCGCTGGTTTGTACTCACTTGGCACGACCCCAACCCAGGTAAGGCCGCCCTGGGGCTGCTCCCCCGGCTCCCGGCTGTGTGTTCTCCTTGCTTCCTCTGCTGAGCTCTGTCCACCAGCCCCACTGAGTCCGCCTGCTGCTCTGTCCCCACGCCGAGGAACGGGAAGCCGGGTGCATGGCAGGCGCTCAGTCTCAGAGTGTGGGGAGGGATCCGAGGGCGAGTTTGCACCAGGATGCGGGAAGACAGGGACGAGCGGAAGTGGCCTTGGGTACCAGCGGCTGCAGGAGGGTGAGGCAGGCCAGGACGGGCCGGCGCAGCCTGGAGCTGCTGCAGATTGCCCGAGGAGGAGGCTGATTAGCTCTTGGTGCTCCGGAAGGTGATCTGGGGAGAGCTCTTCATTCATGAGCGCAGATGACAGGACTCTGGACCTTTGCTAACTAAATTGTTTCCTGCCCATCTCAGTTACTGAAGGGTTTCAACAGGGGCTGGGATGGCCAGAAATCTCAGATGTCTAATGCCAGGGACGAGGATCATCTCCTCCAAGCCCTGCACCTTACAATCAGGTAACAAGGCTCCAGGAGCAGAAGGATACCAGCCCCTGTTGGTAGCCAGGACTTGAACCCAGGCCTCCTGCTTGTCTGCTACTTACAGCCGTGCTGCCCTGCTCTGCTGTCTCATGCAGCCATTTACTTGATTGTCCTACCCTTCAAAGAAAGTGAGAGGCCAGGCACCGGGTGCTTGCTTATATCCCAGCCCTCTGGGAGGCTGAGGCAGGAGGATCCCAAGTTTGAGCCCAGCCTGGGCAACTTAGGGACTTGGTGAGACCCTGTTTCAAAATAAAAAACAAAAAGGGGCTGGGGGTGTAGCTCAGTGGGAAGGCTCTGGGTTCAATCCCCAGTACTGAAGAAAAAAAAAGAGAGAGAGAAAATGTGTCATCTAGACCCTGCTGAACTCTTAGATGAAATCACAGTGGAAGAGATCCAAGGGTCAGACCAAGGTCTAGGGCTCTGGTGGGATGAGCTCCCTGGTGACAGCACTGTCCGGGTGCTCTGCATGCGGCATACATGGATCCAGCACCGACCCCGGGGTGGGGACTGTGTTCCCACACTGCGTCAGACATAGGGCTGCAGGGCTCAGGAGGAACAGGGCCAAACGTAAGGCCCCAAGGGATTCAAGAGCACCAGCTCCCACGCTTGGCTGTCCAAGTATCTTCCGCGCCACACCAAAATCTCTTCAGTTTAAGCAAACCCTCCCCCCGAAAAGTCTGAGTGCCTAGAAGGACTCCATCATTCTGCAGCATTTAAAAAATACCCAGGGCCTTTGCACTGAGCTATATCCTCAGCTTTTTTCTTATTTTGTATTTTGAGACAGGGTGCTGGGATTATAGCATGCGCCACTGTGCCTGGCGATGCGCCACTACATTTGTTTTTCTTTTTCTTTTTAAGTGAGATTTTACATTTATTAAAGGAAAAGAAATATGCTCTGCAGAGCGAGTCTGGACCAACTAAAGGCAGGAAGAGAAATCCACTCTGCAGGGGGAGAGAGGGCTGGTGAGCAGACTGACACCAACTACGAGGTCAGTGGCTACTGTCTTTCTATCCCCCATTGTGAGGTCAGATCTACGCTGTCCTATCAAAGACCTGCTTGATCTTCATGAGAACTGAAGACAGCATTTTCTGATTGGCCCCGGGTTCAGGGCTCGTAACTGTTATCCTGTGCACGTCCCGAATCCCCATGACTGACATGTCACTCCCACTTTGCCCGCCAGTTTGCCACGTCCTAATCTCCTGCTTCATTTTCCCCTGAGAGACAGAAGTCCCCAGAATTCTTTACAGGGTGCTGAGGGTGTGGAGGTCTCTGTCTTCATGTAGCTCCTTCTGCCTGAAAGTGGCTGTGGGCCCGACTTCCTGGGGACTATGTTTGCCCAGCTAAAGTTGAAATCTTTTGTGGTGCTGGGGACAGAACCCGGGCCTCATGCATGCAGGTGTGTGCTTTTCTCCTGCGCAGGACCCCAGCCCTCGATCGTCCTGGAGCAGGACCAGTGTGATAGGCCCTGCTTGCGGCCTTGGGTGCTAGCCGCACATCTGTCCTGGAGAAGTACTGCGAGGAAGTACCCCAGGGGAACAAACAGTGACTGCATTCCCTCTGCTTCATTTCCACCACAGGTCAGGGACAGGAGACGCCACAGCTAGCAGAGCCACTGCTCTACCGAGAGACGCCTGAGGCTCGTGTTAGGCAACATGCAGCTGAGCAGAATTTCTGGTCCTGAGCCTGGAGCTGGCAGCAAGCTCAGAGCATTCATCGGAGGCATGGCCATGGTGTTCTCCCTCCTGTGCCTTGAGAACAGACTACAGTTGCCATGGAGATGGGAAATCTGAGTTGGGCTTGCTGTGTGACCTTGAGCATGTTACACCTCGTCTCTGGGCCTCTGTCCCAGCACTGTGTTAATCAAGATCTCAGCTCTGGGCTGGGATCAAAGCCCTCTTTCGTCACTTGCTAGCTAGTAAAGAACAAGTCAGGCAAGGTGCTTAAGGATGCTAGGTTTAATTTCTTCATATGTAAAACAGAGATTGGTAATACCTCTGTCATAGGGTTGCAAAAATAGATTCAGAATATTCATGCATTTGCTTGGCCTCTAGCCCAGCACAAACACCTGGGAAGGGTGTAGTTTCTTGCTATGACGGACAGTCACAAAAAGAAGACACTCATGGCCCTTTTTGCTTATTTCTATCTAAACTATGAATGTGTTGTGTCTTTTGGAGCTGTGGCAGCAGTTCTGTGACCATGAGGCAAAATCACAGGGAGAAAACCCTACAAAGCTAAGGATATCAACAAACAGTAGTAAAGTTTATACTACTGTTGGGCAACATTCTAGGTATTAAGTTTATAAGAAAGGATAGGACAAGCCAGGTATGGTGGCACTGTAATCCCAGCATTGTGGACGCTGAGGAAGGAGGATTGCCCTGCAAAAGGATGATTGTGCTTCTCTGTGACTGTGGAGTTAGGTGTGGCTAGGTGACTTGATTTAGCCAGAAAAATGTGAGCAGAAGTGGCATGTGTCAATTTAGGGTGGGGTCACTGAAGCACTGCTACAGGTCTCGGAGTCCTCTCCCCTACTTCTGCCGTGGTAGAAAGAGTTCCCATCACAAGATGACCAAAATCAGACCTTTGTTCTTCTGACCAGCTGGTGGTTGACAGTTGATTGTTCCTGCAGGATAACGCAGTCGACTTGGCTGACGCGTGAGTGAATAATTCATTAAATGAATGAATGAATAGCAGCAGGGTCAGGAATGAATTACAGGGGTGGGGGCCCCATGGCGGGAAGTGTGAGGTGGATGATGTCGGCTCCTCACTAGTAGGAGCTGCATCTTCATCTTCCTCCAGGCAGAGCTGGTGTCCCACGGAAGAGATGAACAGTGCCCCTCAAGGGCCTTCCCAGCCTCCCCTGCGGCTGAGGCATGGGCCTGGGGGTGAGCGGATCAGCACAACACAAGGCCTCAGGACCTTCTTTTCCCGCTTGGGTCTCTTACATCTTCTCTCAGGTTCCATGGTGTGAATATAGGGCTTACATTACAGATGTTGCAATAGCTGAGCTAGAAAGTAATGTTTCCTTACCTTTTCTAAAAAACCAAGTCACAGCTCTTTATTAAATATGAAACAAAAAAACCCATTAAATAGCCAAGCAAATAGAGGTGGGTATGATAGTGCATGCCTGTAATCCCAGAACTTAGGGAGGTTGAGGCAGAAGGATCACAAATTTGAGGCTATTCTGGGCAGTTAGCACTGTTGTCAGACCCTGTATCAAAATAAAAAATAAAAAAGGGTTGGGGATATAGCTCAGTGCAAAGGCCCTGGGTTCCCTCCCCAATTGACAATCAATCAATCAAAAAACCTCAAGTTTAATTAATATTCATGTTTTGTGAAAAACAAATGCTTCTGCTCTTTTCTCACTTATCCTGAACTATTTTCAGTTACAGCCTAACCTCATCCTGGTCTTGTCCTCCAAATGATTAGGGTGGCCTGGCTCTCCTGACCAGCGATCCTTTGTCCTGGCCAGAAGTTCAGGCCCTGGGCAAGGCTGATGAACTGTCCCGGCCCTTGGTAAGCCGACAGGAAACGCTGGCCACCAGCGCCTCATCGAGAGAGCAGAGCGGTCATAACTGAGACTGTGAAAGGGTGCCCAGAAGGATGGCACAGCTGTACCCTACAGGATGACCAGACACCAGATGAGGCCCCCAAACCACACCACAGCGCCTGAGCCGTGAGTGCAGCTCCTCTCCTGACTATAGGACTAACTTAACTCATGCCGAGTGTCGCCTGCTTCTCTGATTCTCCTTTCCTCTTCCATAAGCAGGGATTTAAAAATATGTACGATATAGTAGTATTTCTGTGGAAACCAAATGAGGTGATCCTGCAAAGTTCTCTGAAATCAAGTTTAAAAGATTATTAGCTTGTCTTTTGCATTGTCAGTAACGCAGATAACACCTACATTGTAATCTGCATTTGCAGGCGTCTTCTCAGACCCTGGTGTGCACAGGGACTGCAGGGGTCTGCGTAAGGGCAGCCCCTGGATTCAGTGGGCCTGGGGGCAGACAGGGACTACTGACACTGCACACAGCTCACTTTGAGTAACAAGGTTTACAGCAAATTGCAAACCTGAACATTTCTAATAGTAGGTTCCCAGCAGACTTATGTCACCAATTTCAATAGTGGTTTGTGGACCCTGCTTGTTATGTTGTTGACCTCGCCTGTGGCCTTTAATATTCTATGACTAATGTACTTGGGTGGTGCAGATTAGAAGGCAGAAGCCAGGACCCACACACGATTCTCCTAACTATGCCTGATACGTCAGTATATGTCACTTTTAGGAAGATGCGGTCACACACCTTAGTGAACCTTAGGTTAAACAGATTGTCTTATTTTCTTGTCCCTGGGACAAAATACCCAACATCAACAAGTTAGTTCACAGTTTGTAGAGGTTTTAGTCTTGAGCCAGCTGGCTTCAAGGTAGAGAATGGCAGAGGGGCATGGTAGGGGAGAAACAGTCCATAGCATGGCAGGCAGGAGGTAGCAAGCAGGGAGACTTCCTTTCCCTTTTTATTCCACTCAGGCTACAAACCTATTGGTTGGTACCACCCACACCCAGGGTGGGCCATCCCATTATCCACACCCAGAACTATGCTAAGCCAATCGGTAGACTAAGCCAGTTATTACATGTCCATAGTCCAGTATCACACACCCATGATCCAGCCACTTCTCAAAAGCCCTGCCTATGAGCACATGAGTGTTTGGGGGTTCATATACATATAAGACAAATTAAGCCATGCATGGAGACACATGTCTAGATATAAGACAAATTAATCCCAGCACTCAGGAGGCTGAAGCAGAGGATTGCCATGAGTTTGAGGCCAGCTTGGGGTACAAAGTGAGTTCAAGTGCAGCCCGAACTGTGTGGGAGACCTTGTCTCAAAAAAGAACACAGCAACAAAAAAAACCCTACAAGTTAGACCAAGTTCTTTACTTCAGAGCATTACCACATATGCTTAAGTGATTATCACTATTATCTCTTAATACTTTCTTTCTGATATACATAACATAGAACCCAAACAGAAATGGATATAAATAAGGACATTTTACTTCTCCCTACATCAGAAATATGGCAGCAGAAAAGTTTGAAGATTGGTTTATCCAGCGGTTCAAAGACATTGTTAAGGGCTGGGGATATAGCTCAGCGGCATAAGCACCTGCCTGGCAAGCACAAGGTCCTGAGTCCGATCCCCAGTACCAGCGCCCCCCGCAAAAAAAAACAAAAAAAAAAATGGGCCAGGGATATAGCTCAGTGGCATAAGCACTTGCCTGGCAAGCCTGAGGTCATGAGTTTGATTCCCGGTACCAAAAAAAAAAAAAGATATTGTTAATGCTGGTTGTGGTGACTACACCTGTAATTCCAGCACTCGGGAGGCTGAGGCAGGAGGATCACTGTGAATTCGAGACTAGCCTGGGCTACAGGGTGAGTTCAAGGCCAGCCTGAATTGCATAGCGAGACCCAGTCTCAAATACACAAACAGATGAGATATTCTTAAAGACCCAAGAGTTTTCTATATTCTTGCTCTGCCACATATGGACTCATCCTTAGGCTGGCTGTCCTTGTGACCTGAAGCTGAGTACAGAAAAATAAGCATCACAGTCTGATGATGGCCAAAGGAAAAACAAAAACAAAAATGGACTCTTTTTTCTTGCTTCTTTTTTTCCGATTTGTATTTTTTTAGTTCTAAATTTTCCACTGTGGTCTTTTTTTTATAGTTTCTGTTTCTCTGCTGGGCTTTCATATCTTTTCATGCATTGTGAGCATACTTTAATTTATGTCCTCAAACCTAATTATAAATACTGCTTTTAAGTCCTGTCTGTTAATTCTTAGATCTTGAGGATGGTTTGCGTGGATTCCATTTTCTCTTTCATATGGGCCAGATTTCCCCATTCCTTTTCACATCAAGTATCTTTGGACTGAATCCTACACATTGGGAATGTAGGGACCCAGGATACTTTGCATTTTGCTAACGAATTTTGTTTTGTGTGTGGGTTTATTTATTTATTTTTTAGCAGACAGTTGATTAACTTGCCTGACCTCTCAAACTGAAAATGCTCTCCCTCCTTCTGTTGGATGGGAGCTGGAATCTCCGCGCAGCGCTTTCAGCCTTAGCTTGGAGGCTGCCCCATACGTGGGCTCAGAGACTGACAGAGCCCATCCACAGAATTTGAGCTACCTCTTTGTGGACCCCCTTTCCTAGGATTTCCTGCCTCACCTTCCAGCTCGATGGCCCCCAGCACACTGTCCTCTGGTTTTTCACGCCAGGACAACTGCGGGTTTATATCCTAGTTTTTAACCATTCCTCACGACCCCAACTCGAAGAAACTCCAAGAAAATGAACAACCCAGCACTGCTCCCTTCCTCCCTTCCCCGCCCCCATGGCCTCCTGCTTTGCATGCTCTCTGCTGTTTTCATGGCTGCTTTGAATTCTGTCACGTGGGTGGTTTGCGGTCCAGTATGAGCTACTCAGCCATCACCGGATGTAGAACAGCATTCTCCTGATTCCCCAGCAGAGCTCTTCGCTGTCTTATCGTTGGCCGGAATGGTGTTTATCTGCTCTTTTTCAGCCTCCCCCGTCCCAAGGCCTGTTTTTCCCGAAGGACACAGCTGCCCTGAAGAAGGTAAACACGGTCAGGGTTTGCTCATCGGGAGGCGTCAGGGAGGAAGAGGCTGTAAACCCACGGGACTTGCCACACAGGACTTTGCAGGGCTATAATGTGAAGGTTTGTGTTGTCTGCAGAGATCTGCCTCAGTCTTATCTGCAGTGTTTTCTGCGTGTGTTCACGTCATGAGTCAGTCTTTTACCCATGGGGCATATGTTAAGACTGGTCTGAACTTCTGGAAGCAGAGAAGTTCCAAGGCCACTTTTGGTCACACTACGCAGTGTATGTGACCATGCTGCTGTCTGA